TTTGCCTCGGATGGCCAACCATCTAGCCAGTCCAACTTTCCAAGCCATCCAAGAAACTTGTGCTGCAGGGGCAGCGGCTGTTGGACTGAACGAAACTCTTTAAAGACAAGGTCGTCTCGGAAGACGCGCACACATCCACAAAACAAAAAAGCCAAGATGGCAGATAAACAAATAATACTATGTAGCGACGGCTGAACAGTAAGTTCATATCATTGTTGGCTATTGCTCACATGAGATGGTTAGGTAAAGGATGCCCCAAACTTCCAAAGATCGGACGAGGATCGGGATTACTCAGAAAGGGCAATTCAAGCTCTCGTTTTGACGAGATTGAAGCTCACAAAGCGGACAACGAGATGCTATTGGAGACTCCTCGTCCCAAGATAGAAAGCTTTAGGACAGTGCCGTCGTATCTGATATTATTGTCCGCACATTGACATGTTTTTCTGGACACGCACCTGATCAGAGTGACTTAGCGAGAGTGTCAGAGGCAGCAAAAGGCGTTGAAGAGGCTGGAAAAGGTGTGGGAAGTGGTGGGCAATTATTAAGAAACATCAGCTTCCCTGCCGTGTCGATCCCAGCAATTTCCTTTTGGCTGGCCCTTCCAGACTGGCGTGACTGGCTGGCATTTTCAGAGGAGAGCCCCCCCTGTCATTGATGGCATTTGGGGCTGGCAAGTCCACTGTCCTGCGCTCCGGGTGAGGAACTCAGGAACTCACGGCATCCAGACTTGCAACTTTGCAAGACGCCGCCCCCCTCGTGCAGCCCCCCGAAACAGAGAGCGATCCCGTTCCGCAGCGGCGCGCTAAGCTATCAGTGGTTGGCCCGGTCCCTCACCTTTTGCCTCCCCCTGGCCCCCAAAAGTTGACTGGACTCCGTACGCTAGAATTGAACGTTCGTCTGTGGTGGACCTCGAGGAGTGCTGAGGGTCGATTATTTGGGCGAATACGGACGGGACTCGAGTATTCTCAGCCACCGTTCGGGGGTCTACTTCCAGGTCCCATTCAGGTAGGTGGATTAGCTTAAGTACTGTGTCACCTTGAACAAGAGAAAAGATACATCTGAAAGGGGTCCCCCCCATCTGCGGTGAGGCTCGGGCAGCTTCATTCATTCAATTCAATTCCCCATCCCATCCCCCCCATGCCCGTGTACCCCCCCAGCCAGGAAATAGGAAAGAAAAAAAAGGGAGAGAGAGAGAGAGAGAGAGGCACAACTTGCGCGCCACAACCGATCCTCGACTGTCAATCCTCGACCCTCGACCTTGACCTACTCGCCTTCTCGATTCCCCGTCTTCCGTCCTGACAAGCTCAGAGACGAACAACAACACACACGCAACGACAAAAACAGTTCCCAGCAACCAACCCTGCATCATACCTTACGACACCCAGATTGCAGCTCCCGTATCACAAGGTGTTCTTCAGCAGCACAGACGATACAGTCTACAGATTTGCCTAGTGCTGCAGTCCCCCCATCTCCATGGACACCAACTAGGTCCTCTAAACAGTCCGACCTCGACCTGGACGCAAGCTATATCACCATACCGCACACGCCCACATAGGTCAGCGCAAGTTGACCTACGATTCTTCATTTCGCCATGTCCCAGCCAGACGAGCCTGTCGCGACCGTTTCTCCTGAAGTCACCAAGGAGACCAAGGAGACCAAGGAGAAGAGACTCTCGACTGACTCCGACTCCGACTCTGATAAGGAGAATGTAACGCTCCCCTCATCCTCCCTTGATGCACACATACCTGCTTGGGCCTTCCAAGCTCGACCACATGCCGCAACCGCAGTGCAGACAGGAAAAAGAACCACTCGCTGACATGACCGAATAAGCAGCAGGATGCCTTCGAAGATGCCGTTGTCGATGTCGCCGAGGTAGCTGAGGTGCGTTCTCTTACTCAGAGAACGCCCTCCGTCTCCAAACCACCACCCGCCGAGGAAACGGACCCTGAATCCCCGAAAAAGGAGGAGCACACTGAAGAGGACAGGGTGGAAGCACCAGCAGCTCCGCCTTCACCAACACCAGACGACCACTTTGTCGACGAGGACTTTGTGAGCGACCATGAGGACATGGATATCAAGCGCAAAGCTTCTCCAGTGTCCCATCGACTTTCCAATACCTCAAATTTGGACGACGTCAAGCTCGACGACGACCACCCTGCCCCACATGAGGAACCAGGTTTGTTGTTTGGCCGCATGAATTAATTGACGTCTGACAGTAATGCTAATTTTAAACCCAAGAAACGAAAGCCATTAGCCCGGTCGAAGAGAAGCCACTGCCGCCCAAGAAAATATCCATTAGCAGCATCACCGGCGCCCTCCCATCCATGCCATGGTCGCCGCCAGCCGAGCCATCGCCTGCCAAATCTCCCGTCGTCCCAGCTGCACCCCCACCCCAAGCCGCTTCCTCTGCCGCCCTACCACCACCCCCTGGTCCCCCGACCAGGAAGCTCACCAGCCCCTTCTCCTGGCTGTCTCGAAACAGCACAAGCAAGGAGAAGGAGACCTCACCGCCTCCACAGGCTTCTCCTCGCCGAAACACAGCCAGCTCCATCGCAACGTTGACAAGTAACCCAGAGATGTCGCTGGGCAGGTTAGACGAAGAGAAAGAGGGCGGCATCCCGCGACACAGCCTGAAGGACCGCTTCAAGATGGTCCGACTACGGGAAGAGGCCGGCGTTACGCTGCCATCAGACGACGATAAACCTGTGCCGCCCCCCAAAGGATTGGGTTTAATCACACCTCCCGCCCAGAATGGAACCGACAAGGAGCTTGGAGCTGATCAAGCCCCCAAATCACCTCTCCCAACGACCCCGAACCCGGCGCTGGCACCAGGCACAGTATCTGGTGTATCGGCTGGACCCTCGGACATGTCAGACTCCCAGGTAGACTGGGATCTCTGGCAGTCCGTGGTTTACGAAGGCCCGGCGGTTGTTCAGCGGACCAGCGCCGAGGAACTGAACAAAGCCATAGCCAGTGGTATTCCTAACGCCATCCGTGGAGTAGTATGGCAAGTATTGGCCCAGAGTAACAATGAAGAGCTCGAGATCATGTACAGAGAGCTAGTGGCAAGGGGAACCGACAAGGAAATCAACAGGAACAGTCATAGCACCGTCAGCTCGAGCAGCAACGGTACCCTCAGCATCCAGAACGACATTGTCAATTCCTCCTCATCATCTGTCCACTCGGAACACTCAGCCGCGAACGGCATGCCTTCCCCTCATGAGAAGAGTGCGGAGACGGTCCTAAAGGCGCAGCAGGCGGCTACGGCGGCGAGACAAAAGAAGCAAAAGGAGGATACTGCCATGCTCCAGAAGTTGGAGAAGACGATTCGACGAGACATGGGTGCGAGAACCAGCTTCTCCAAGTACGCCGCCGCTGCCGGGCTTCAGGAGGGCCTCTTTGGCGTGTGCAAGGCGTATGCCTTGTTCGACGAGGGTGTTGGCTACGCTCAAGGCATGAACTTCTTGATTATGCCACTTTTGTTCAACATGACAGAGGAAGAAGCCTTCTGCCTGCTGGTCCGGTTGATGAACCACTACCACCTGCGCGACCTATTTATCCAGGACATGCCCGGCCTTCACAAGAACTTGTATATCTTTGAGCGCTTGCTTGAGGATTACGAGCCAGCTTTGTACTGTCATTTGCGCCGCCGCAGCATCTCACCACACCTCTACGCCACACAGTGGTTTTTGACACTATTCGCCTATCGATTCCCCCTGCAACTGGTACTACGCATTTACGACCTGATCCTGTCTGAAGGTCTCTCAGCTATTCTGCGATTCGGTATCGTCTTGATGCAGAAGAACGCCTCCAACTTGCTTGCCATCTCGGACATGCAGCAACTGACGGTCTTCCTCAAAGACAAGGTCTTTGACGCCTACATCGATACCGCACCGAGCGCAGGCAGCATTCTGGAGAACGGCTTCTTTGGAAGCTCAAGCGCCAGCATGGATAAGGAAGTCTACCGCGCCGATCAACTTGTCAGAGATGCGTGTGATCTCAATATCACTCCCGAGATTCTCAAGACCTACACGACCGAATGGGAGGAGAAGACAAAGGCTGAGAAGGACCGTGAGGCCGAGCTGGAAGGGCTGCGGACTGCCAATATCAACTTTGCCGTCAAGGTCCGTAAGCTCGAGGAGCGTGTCGAAGCATACGATAGTGAACAGGCTGCTCTCGCAACTGAGCTGGTCCACACCAAGGTCGAGAACGAGGAACTCAAGGATGAAAATGAGAGTCTCAAGGGCCAGGTCCGTGAGCTGCGAAACGTCATCGAAAAGCAGCCGGAAGAACTCGAGAACGCATGGAAGGCTGAGCGAGAGGATCTCATGAAGCGTAACCTCAAGGTTCACGAGGAGAATGAGAAGTTGGAGAAGGAGATGGCGGAGCTGGAGGAGGAGCTTGTGCAGACCAAGATGCAGTATGCCGAGGTAAGAGGACGCCGCATTGAAATCCACAAAGGATTGTTTGACTGACTCTCTGATAGATCAATTCTCAGCACGAGACGCTTAACCGCAAGTGGACAGACCTCAAGCGACAGTTTGCTTGAGGCAGTCTGTGAGGAATACGACCCTGGTAACCCAGAAGCAGAATTCTCTGAATATCTTAATGTACAAAGTAATGATAGCTTCCCATTGAGTATGGAGGTTTGCGTGTGTTTGCTGGCCTAATACACATCTGGGCAGCCAGCTGGTAGAAGTACGGGCATCGATAAATCAGACAGACTCTTGAGGAGGTCACCTGTTTCTGATATCCCGAGAACCAACACGCGGTAGGAGTGAGCAAGAGCATGCCGGCCTAGACGGGCCAGGAGAAGCTGGCTAGTAGCCATCGGGGTTTTAATGCAAGACTCGTACCAGAGACCAGCGGCTAGGTGAGCATGGAGAAGGGGTTCAAGGCGCATACTCTAGCTTCCGTAGGTAGACTTGACAGCTACAACATCAAATACAGAAAGCATCACAAGGCAATCAGGAGAGTGGATGACAACAGGTGAACAGTGATTACGGCAGGCAAAAACTTGGTGGTATAGTCTTTTTGAGTCTTCCTAATAACCCATATCCGTCCGTGGACTCGGTTGCTTTTCCCGAGCCTACATTTCATTGTACGCTAATCACGCCCCGTGATGGCTTGCCAGACGAGAAAAGCAAAACCTGTTCAACACCAAGAACAACCTAAGAGCCCGATAAAATGTTTTTTTCATTCCCGTAAACGTGATCCGTGAGAGAGAGTCACAGTTATCTAGTTTTTTCCCCCATCCACATCCACACGCCCACAACGCGCGACGCTGTATCGTTAAGACATGGCTTTCACGCAGCAAACAGGACCACCCTGGTAAACAAGGCGATGCGTTTACTTGTGGAGCTTGCGCTGGTAGAAGGCGAGCTCCTCACCCTCGAGGATGTATCCGTCGCAGCGACCGGACTGGCCGGGGCGGGAAGAGACAACGGCGTACAGGCGACCGGCCTCGAACTGCTTCTCGAGAGCGTTCTCGACCTTGCCCTCGGCGGCGTAGCGCTCAGCCTGCTTCTTCTCGACGGACTTGGACTTCTTGGTCTCCTCCTCCTTGACGCCGGCGGCGGCCTGCTGCTTCTGCTGGCGGCGACGGCCGAGGTTCTGGCCGTAGTGGGCCTCGTACCACTGACGGAAGGGGGCGGCGTCGATCTGGACGACGGCGGACTTGGTCAGGGTGTTTGTGCGGACGAGCTCGTTGTTGGAGGGATGGTAGGCGACGCCGATGACACGGGTCTTGCGGGTGCAGCCCTCGGAGGCCCAGGCGAAGTTACCGGAGTCGAGGCGGAGGGCGCGGTACTTGTGGTTGCCGCCGCGGGTGCGGACGGTGTGGACTCGCTTGGGGCCGATACGGGTGTTGGCACCCTGGCGACCGGCCTCGAAAGCGCGCTTCTTCCCTGTTGAGCAGAAAGGTCAGAACGCATGCTTGATTAGAGCATACGGGCTTTCGATTGTATTACGCACGGTAGTAGGCGCGCTTGGCACCGGAAGCGGAGCGCTTGTGGCGGGAATCTCTTGAGATACCCATGATTGCTTATGCTGTTCATGGAGAAGAAGTTAGCCCATGGATTCTGGTGAAATGGTGGACGAGCGACAATGAAGAGCCTCCGTGAACACGAATGGTCATGAAGAGGGGTGTTGGATTGGGAGAGGGGGTGCGAAGTGTTTCTTCAATGCCCACCAAGGAGGATATCGCGAAATGCCTTTCTTCTTGCGCTGACGGATGGTGAAAACCAGCGAAAAGAAGTTTGGAAGATCGTGGGATATCGTCGTCGAGGTAAAGGGTTTCTTGAACTTTTCGCAGTTGCTGTCTCGCTTCGGTAACTAACCTGATGGTTCCTCAGGGGGCAATCGACTGGTGGCTGGCCGGCGTTGGGTGGTTGACTGTCGAGGTTGTCGGGAATGAACTTTTTTCGGGAGGTTGAGGAGATTCGAGAAACAGCACCTGGCAAATTTGGAGTTTGTGCGGGCTCGCTAACCCCACTGGCAAAAGCTGGGAAGAGTGCACGGTCCAGGCTAGGGCATGCTTTTGGCCTGAGGTTTGGTAGACATCAGGGGGTTTCTCATTGGGCGGTTTTGATTGGTCGCGGCTTCTCGTGGGGGAGTTCCTCGGTGAAGATCTCTGACCGAGGTCGCTTCACCGAAGGTCTCTACTTTTCCTCTTGGTGAGGCACCTCGACCGGACTTTGCCTTCGATTGCCTGGTGATAGATATCATGCCGACAATCGACAACAGAGGATTTATGCCGGACTGTTCTTTTTTGGAGTTTGTTTGCCTCCCAACTCTAATCGGCAAAACAACACGGCGCCTTCTCGCGATCGACGACTGCCATTGGAACCAACCGCCAGAACTAAACCAACTGCCGGTCAAGTACTTGAAGCAAGCTAGTAGTGTCAACGCATCATTGCAGAGCTTACTTCCATAGCATCAAAGGGTCGACACGCAATCTTCCCGGTTGAACCTCAAGGGATCCTTCTTCACTTCAATCGAGACGCCCCCATGTTGGAATCGTTTGTCCTCGTGTGCTCGGTGGCCTCTTGCAGCCAGGTAACTTCACGATAGGTAAATCAAGCGAAGTGCAAACATCATAACTTGTGAAGATTCGGCAGTGTACACGGCCACTTGTGAGGATAGGCCACCACGTGTAAAAAGGTTGTTGGGCCAGGCCTTCCTATCTCTACCAACCTTCTCTTTACCTTTCACGATATGCGCGCGGGTGGCGGGTGAGGGCGCTTCAGATCGTGACTTCTGCCAAGACGGAGATGCCAGAAAGCCTAAAGGCATAGCAAAGCAATTGATTGGAAGAAAGCTAGAGAGCATCTAGTCGAGGGCGGGGGCGTGACAGCCAATCCGACTCTTGGCCGTGTTCTAGACTCACCACAAGTCTGACGCTTCTCACGTTTCCAGACCAATTCAAGAATCCAATTCTCGTGCGTCAAATACCCATATTCGATATGGACAATATTAAGAGACGTAACCCTCGGGGACCTTGGCGATCGGCGCCTGACTTTGCATCTGCATATCATCACCTCCCTATTCCTACGACCCTGTCTTCATAGTCGAAGCAGACAAAAGATGGGAAGGTTTACTGTGGCATCTCAACTCAATCGCTCATTTACTTCTATCAGATATGACCAAACATGACAGCAGATTGCACTCTACGATCGGTTTGAGATCATTCATCCCATGTTTATCTGTCTTTGGCCAAGAATTGTGCAATTGTTTTTTTCTTGTCAAACAGAGACACATACACCAGAGGGCAAGGGAAGGCCCATCTGCATCTGTGACACCCAGAGACGCGAGTTCAAAGGCCGGCGTTCATCGGGTCCGGGATCTACTCTGTAATGGTCAATAGCCGGAGCTGGGCCTCACGGCATATCCGGCCTTTACGTGTTCCCTGCCTTATTGACAACCACCAACCCCCCCGGCCCGCCTGGGAAAATGTCGGATCTCTCACGCATAGACTGTGTCAAGAAGAGACAAACTGCTCACACCAAGCTCTTGACAGCCCACTGAATGTCCGAACCGCTTTGCGGTCCGCCGCCAGTGCCCCGTGCGGTTTCCGGATCACCAAGCAGCGGCAAGAATGACCAGAAACGGATAAAATTCGATGGACGAGAAAAGACGAGGAATCGAAAATCTTGAACTCGTGAAGAAGTGAATTGGCCTATTCTACTGTAGGCAATGTATCGCGCAGCGACCTCAAAAAAAGGGGCCGTAGACAGCCAAAGTTGGCGTGCCTCTATGCCGAGTGCTTGTGTTTATATACATTAATGTAGCCGCCGAAGCTCTTCCTGCGGCTTGCGTATGTACTAGGTTAAAAACCATCGAGAAGCCTGCTCAAGCATCGTCACCCTCGGGTGCGATCAATCATCGGATATCCAGCCTGTGCCCTCGCGGATGTTTCCGATGTTCCCTCGACTTTTCCGCCTGGCCATTGGCCGTCCTGCGGGGAAGTATGGATCTTCCATCACGTATTGTGACGGTGTCATCTGTAGTTGTGATGAAGGAATGTCGTTCTTCACCTTGATGATGCCCATCTCTACGCTGTGTGCTAATGATGGTTTGTTGAGGTCCAGGGGTAGGATATTCTCCATACTCTCAGTAGTCGCACGTGTTGAAGTCCCGTAGGAACTCGAGCTGACGGAGAGTTTTCCACCGGCCTTCCCTTGAGTTGCTCGTGCATACGCATTTTGGCCCAAGTATGGCTTCGATCCGCCTATCGTCGTTCGCTGATTGGGATAGTATACTTTGGAGTATTTTCCCGTCGACAGGCCGAGGGCCTTGTTGAGGACAGGGAAACGGGCTATCAACGGTCGTAAAGATGGAACGCCAGAGCAAATGATCAAGGCACAAACTTCGACTTCTGACCAGAGTAAGGGGTCGGCGACCAAGACTACGAGAATTAGCGAGTGAACGATGACGCGAAGTGAAAACGACCTACAAGTAACGTCGCGGTCAAAAGCATTGATGTAGCTCACTCTGATGACGGAAATGACACAAACCCTACGTCTGTTAGTTGCTTGTCCAGAAGGTGGAGGCGATTTCAAGAACTCACAATAAGCCTAGGGACAACATGACGATGACCCCGACTCGCTTTGCCATCGGTAGTTGCAGTTTCCAGACAGTCGGGATTGGTTGAATGAACAACACCAAGTCTGTCAATAGTTTGATGACGAACTGGCTCGAGTTAGCTGACTGGCGCGCACCACTTCATGTTACCTCGCTTTCAAGTCAAACTTACAGCAGAGTAGTAGAAAATGGTCAAATCCAGACATGTTCCTGGTACGGACGGCGTCCAAGCTCTTTCGATGGGAGTGCATCTGAAGATGACGACGGCAGTCTCTTCAATTCCCTCTGCGAGCAGCAAAACGATGAGGAACTTGTTGATGCGCTGGTAGACTTGGTCGGGGAGCAGCCGAAGGTAAAGAACTGCGAAAGACATTTTTACTGTCACAAATGCCCAGATGTATGTGAGTTGTGTGACGACTTGGAACTGCAGATGGTTTGTCAGTGCGGTTCGAGGAAAGTCTCTTTTGGTGTTTTCTACCTTTAAAAATTCGGCAAAGTCTGACTTCGAAACGTCTTGAAAGTGAGAGCCCAAGCCCACGCCGGTCACTATTCGAGATTAGTTTGAAGTCCCTCTCCAGCCTTCAGAAATGGTGGCAGCTTACTGGCAAGAATTGCACTGCATAGTGCCATGGCGAGGACCTGTTCATGTTTAGCAAGCAACATCCTCCAGATTTCTATCGTAGCTTCATACCCAGCTGATGAGCACGAGTGCTAGAAATGGTCAGCATAATAGTCGTGATAGTCCATCAGTCTTTGATACTCACTATCATCCCAGCCCAAGCTCCGTAGTAGGACACTTCGTACAAAGGTCCTCATCACGACTGTCAGCGTGATAAAAGTCATCAGCATGATGGTCACGCTCGCCGTTTGAGCGACCTTTGTGTCCGCCATTTTTGCCGATGGTTACATTCAGGTCGTGGGTGCCTCTCGATGGACCTCAAGACAGCGGGGGGCGGAATAGATATTCACAGTCCGACATAGAGGACCGGAGTGAAGGGTGACAGGATGGACCATGACTGATAGGTGGTCCCCTACGTATGTATGTGCTTGACATAGCCCATCGAACTCTGATGCATTGGACACACACTACGAATGCGAACCCAATCCCGGTCCTCCCACTGCTGTCTGATCTCTTCAGCGATGTCCCCAGACGACTTTGTCGAGATAGTCTGAAGAAAGAGACGGACTGGGTATCCAGAACGGGCACCCGGGGTCATGCGTGTGCGGTAAGGGTGCGGATGGCCACCCGAACAGAGGCACGCTTCATTGTGAACCTCGTTCGATGCCAGCTGTCTGGGACGAGCATAGACTTTCCGCGGATGGACTGGTGAAGAAATCTACTTGCGAGCCCCTTGTTTGGAGGTTAAACTTCCAACAGCCAAGTTTCAAAGTTCAAGGGCTGGTTGATCGCCGCAAGGAAGGCCATTCAGAACATCAGGCTCTGCTGCAAGATGGCCCACGGATCTAGGAGATCCAGTGGCGTGATTGGTAGAGGGAGACGCGAAGCCCAACGGCTTGAACCCGTCGATGGGTCGCCCTTGCGACTACCCACAGGGGAATCCGGGGAAGGCGAATCGAGCCGCGGAGCCATGCTGCGTGGATTAGGTCATGCATACATATGTCCTTCAAAGGGCTGGCGAGCCGTGCTCTCTGCCCGTCACGGCAATCTAGAGGAGATTCGAGAACACCTGTGTATGCCTGCCGAGAGGCGTGCAACCAATGACTCGTCCGTACATCGGAAAAGGTGCGGATAGCTGTCCATGTCCGAACCTGCCAGTCAGCTATAGCCCCAAACTCTACTAAGGACCCCAAATAGCCTGATGCTAGAACAGTGCAATAGCCATGCTCGTGTGATCCAATAGCATCCAACTTAATTAGCCGTGTAGCATTCGAAAAGTCGTATATTCGAGAGACTTGTCCAGGAAAGCTTGGCCAGGCGTAGCCGCTGTGGCCATGAGACGACAGAACACCGACCTCTTGGGAGCTTCTTCCTAGGCCGCGTTGGGAAATCTTAGCGGCGAGGCCATTGGTCAAGCCCCGTGTTGCTCCATGTTGGTCGTCTAAAACAACAGAAAAGCCACGAGCTGGCTATGACAAACTTGTCTGTGCGGGTTTCTATCTTCCGAATGACCCATTTCCTACTTATGACCAGAACAGACTAGTCAGGCAAACGATTCATCGTGAGAAGACCGGTTTGTTTACGGAGGAAACGCTGCCTCATTGCATCCTGGGTCCGCTTGGTTGAGGCACTTGCGCTCCCCGAGCCGCTGTTTGATGTGCTCTTTGGGCAACTTGAAGCCGATCGGTGACTATCTGGCCATGATACTGCCAGACATTTCGGTCTCCTCCCGCGACGAACACAAGCTTCGACGGCAGAACAACGGCAGAACGACGGAAAATCGTGATAAGATGAATCTTCCGGTAAAGTGGACAACGGCATGTGGGAAAAGTGCGGTCTCCGCTAGAATCGCGGCGTGTTGTGTGCCAGAGGCATTTCGTGTGGTGGGTTTCAGTCTCTACGCCGCGGTGAATCCCGACAGCTCGGGGCAGTCCCGATATTGAGTGTGAGTGGGCGGGAGCCGACTAAGCGCCGTTGCGCCGTTGTGCCGGCATCGTTGTAATGGAACAATACAAGCGGTGCGAATACCCTCCCACACGCCGGGAGGCAGGAAAGGGTAGCCTGTTGGACGGCCACGACTTTGATGTCTGTGATATGTTCTTGTTGGTGCATGTCAGTAGACGAGAACGAAGAGTGGCCTGAGAGGCTCAGCTTCTTCGAGGCGGCATTACTGACTCGCTGTTTATTTGTGGACGAAGCGAAACTCATCTCATGTTTCGAGACAAGAAACGTCACAGCTCACGAAGACGTTGCTGAGATCTCGTTTTGGCAGGACCAACCCCAGGGATCCAGGCGTTCAGGAAGCCATCATACGAGTCTTTTGTGTCAAAGAGCCGCCGTTCAGGCGGAAAGGCCGTTTATCCTTCTACTGACAAGGTGCCGCTTGTTTGCAAAGATGGGCGTTGAGAGTTTGCATGCAGTTGTCGACAGTGGCGGCGAGCCAAGGCGCCGGGCCATCAGTTGCCTGTAGAGACGTCTGCCAACGGGAAGCTATCGGACTTGGAGGCTGAGAGATACGTATTCATGTGTTGAAGTCTGCGTCAAAAGTTAAAGTCATGATTGCCGAGTGGATGGGACAAACACGGCCACCAAATGTGATTGTCTGATGAGATGACGAGTCCCTCGACTCGAACCTAATTCCGCCTTGCCGGCGTTATTTCTGTGCTGCCAAGCAGTATAAGTAATCATCTACAGACAATCGGCACACCTATTTAGGTTGGCGGCAAGAGTGGGAAGGTTTGAGAAGATGCGAATAAGACTGACATTGATCATCAAGAGGGAGTAGGGCTTCCTCTGCCGGTTGGCTATTTGTCTGCGGCTGAGAGGCCCTGAAAAAGAAGGGTCTTCCGGTCGTCGACCATTCTTGTCTATCGAATATTACTGATCATGAAGAGGACGCAACGGGTGAAGTGGGCCAGAACGGTCCAGAAGATATCGTCAGTGCCAACATAGTGGTTGCCAAGCCCCGTCAGTGGGTGGTTTTAAGTTGCCGGCGGGACAAGACGTAGACCTGTCCTACCTTCCCTTCCATATCGAAATCGGGCCTGTCATTTCTGCTGTTGGCAGTCAAGACGTCCATGCCTCCTCCATCCAAAGTAGAGGAACGAGTCGATCGTGACACCCGAAGAGGGCTGGCAGCTTGGTGTTGTGAACAGGAAAGAGACGATCTCAGGATGGTGTTTTGAAGTTGTTCCAGAAGGAAAGAAGTTCGCGCCGGCCCCACCCACCGGTCCCTTCCTTCCCCAGAATACCACCTGCCTCGGAGCCATTCCCGTCGATCTCCCTCTCCACCCACAGGGGTTCCTTCCGTCTTTCCTGGAGAATTGCCCGGTGAGGCACTTACACGACCACGTTTTGCTGCCACCACTGCATCGTCAAACTTCACCTTGCTTCATCACACCCTCAATTGGCTCTGCGTCACCCTCGGGTTTTCCTAAGATCGATCCAAACAAACAGAAAGATTGTATCCTTCCTTGGTATGTAAAACAATCCCCATTGAGAGTCCGCTTAATGCACCCTCTCTTTGCGGGTAGAAGCTGATTTCTTTCTTTCTTGGTCTTGCAGCAATTTCCTTTGGCGACCAAAATTCCTACGAAAGCCACCTCACACCCAAACGACACTTAGCTACGCACACTTGCACCAGCAACAATGAAGTCTACACTCTGCATCGCAGCCTTTGCTGGCATGGTCAACATTGCTGCTGCCGCAAGCCCTCCTGCCTGCCTTCTCGCTGCCGTTGGCCAGCAGCCCAAGGTCTCTTCGATCGATGATATGTGCACCGACTTCATGTCGGCCATGCTTGGCAACTTGACCAACGTTTGCCAGGGCGACAACCTCAAGGAGGCCTACAAGTCTTACGCATCTACGTGCGCTGAAATCGGCGTCAAGGTTGCTGACCTGCCCTCGGCCTCTACCACGAGCGCCACCCCTACCTCGACCCCGGAGGCTCCAGGTAGCCCTGGTCCTGATGCTACCTCAGCGCCGTCGTCAGCCACTCCCACGTAAGTACTTTTCTGCCGACTTATCGTTAGAAATTCGAGATTGACACAAGGTTACAGCGATGGCCCCCAAGAGTCCAAGCCCAGCGCTGCTGGTGCTATTGCTCCTCATGCCGTTCTCTTCACTGTGCTTGGTCTTTCTGCGACTGGCCTCGTCAGCATAGTATTCCTGTAGGGGAAACCAAGTTGCGCCAAAACACAAGCGAGCATATGATTTCTTTGGAATTCGGCATTACATTCGTGGTCAAACAGTACACGAGTTCTCAGGCATTCGTCTCAGGCCAAACATCGACAGGTGATTATGGTAACACAGGACAACCAAGGTTGCTTCGGGACTAGGCGGCAGGAAAATGGGCATTTGCCATAGCTGGCGGCGTTTCGGATGGAAGAGAATTGATGAACCACTTCACGAAGAGCATGGCGTTCAAGGACAAGGCGTGAGATTAAAGTTGAAATTTTACGAATTGGTATCTTTTCCTCCTCTTCTAAGTCTTACTAGACCTCTCTCTATGCATCTCTCTATTTCAGCGTGACCAGCTCTTCGGCGCTAGTCGGGTGGATGGCAACACAGCTGTCAAAGTCCTTCTTGGTCGCGCCCATCTTGACAGCGACACCGAAGCCCTGGAGCATCTCTCCGCTGCCAAGACCAGCAATGTGCAGACCGACAACCTTCTCCTCGGGGCCGGCGACAACGAGCTTGTAGGCGGTGGGGCCCTTCTCTTCAGGCTCCATCATGGCGTAGTACATGGCGGTAAAGCTGGTCTTGTAGACCTTGATGTTGTCCTTGCCATACTTCTCAATGGCCTGGGGCTCAGTCAGGCCGATGCTACCGACCTCGGGGTGGGAGAAGACAACGGAGGGGATGTTGGAGTAGTCGAGGTGTGCCTTTGCATACTCGGCGCCGCCGAACAGGCGCTCGGCCAGACGACGACCGGCAGCGATGGCGACGGGGGTCAGCTCGACCTGACCGGTGACGTCACCGAGGGCGTAGATGTTGTCAATGTTTGTGTTTTGGTACTCGTCGACGGGGATGTATCCCTTCTCGTTGAGCTTGAGGCCAATCTCCTCGAGGCCAATGTCCTTCGTCGCGGGCGTGCGGCCAATGGCCCAGATGAGGTGGTCGAAGCCACCCTCGGAGGTCTCCTTTCCGTCGGCGTCCTTGTAGGTGATTGTGAGCTTGCCGTCGGCGTCCTTTTCGACCTTTGTCGGCTGCGACTTCTTGTGCAGGTTGACGCCCAGGCGCTCGTACTCCTTTGTGACGGTCTCCTGGATCAGGGGGTCAAAGGTGCGGAGGAAGGTGTCGTGGCGGATGAAGAGGTGGGTTTCCGTGCCGAGGGCGTTGAACATGCCGGCGAACTCGACGGCGATGTAGCCCGCGCCGACGAGGGCCACCTTCTTGGGCTGCTTCTCAATGTCGAAGAAGCCGTCCGAGTTGGTGCCGAGCTCGGCGCCGGGGATGGTGGGCGGGATGGTGGGGTTGCCGCCGACGGCGACGAGGATCTTCTTGGCCTTGACGAGGGTCTTTGTGCCGTCGTCGAGGGTGACCTCTGCCTCGTTGCGGGAGGTGAGCTTGGCCCAGCCGTGGAGGTACTCTACATTGTCGTTCTTGAGGTTGCGCTCGTAGATGCCGTTGAGGCGCTTGATGTAGGCGTCGCGCTTGGTCTTGAAGGTGGGCCAGTCAAAGGGGGCCGTCTCGTTGACGGAGAAGCCGTAGGACTTGGCCTGGTGGATCGTCTCGGCGATGGCGGCGGCGTTGAAGGTGACCTTTTTCGGGACGCAGCTGTAGGCATCAGGGCGTTAGCATAAGCTTGGTTGTGTTTGTTCTTTCTGCTTGAATACCCCGACAGGGAGAGAGAAAGAAAGAGAGAGACTGAGGGACACTTACCCAACGTTCACGCAAGTTCCTCCTAGCCTGGCGCCCTCGACGATGAGGGCCTTTGCGCCGAACTGGCCGCAGGCTTTACGCGCCGAGGCGAGGCCGCCGCTGCCGCCGCCGATGACGAGGTAGTCGGTCTCCTTTGTGATGGGAGCCATGGTTCGCGCTGTGGAAGAGAGGTGCCTCTGTATGGAAACGAGTCGTGTGGGTGCTGTTGCTGCTGCTGCTCGTGATGCTGCTGCGGTAGATGTGCGGTAGAGTGCTTGCATGGGGAGCTGAATCGCGGGGCGAAACGAAGCAGAGGTGAGGAAGAGGGGGAGGGGGGCGGCAGGCAGAGTAAATAGATTTCCGATATGTACGATGGTGGGGCCGAGTTGAGTGACGTCTTATATGCTTCTAGATGCGCAACTTCCTACGCTACCGGTATCTGACAAATGCAGCTTATAATATGGTGCGTGTGTAGTTAACACGTGTGTGGCACGACGGACGCGGAAATGGGTTTATGGTGGGATGGAGCTGATGTAAGTTTTTTCTCTCTCTTGTCTAGAACCTCGGCGGCGTTTGTTGCTGTTCGGCGAGTCGGGGGGAGAGTGAGCTGGTGGATTAGGGAATCTCGAATTCGGCGTACAGGGGTCGGTCAGTGGCGCGCGACGTCAGGGTATTTCCTATGGCTGCTCTAGAACAATGGATGGATGCGTGTGTGTGACATGTGTATCTGTATCTGTAGGCTTAGTGTAGTGTACGGAGTACGGAATAGTGTGGTGAGGTGGTGCTGTTGTCCAAAAGCGTTGTTGGACAGAAAATGGAATATGCACGGGGATGAATCATCACCAATCAACCGCCCATGTTCGCAACGAAAAAAAAGGGTCCCTGCTGGAGAAAGCCGTGGAATTTAGATTGATAACTAAGCACCGTACAGCTAAAGCCCGCCGGGCATCTGTTAAACTCGCAATTGTTGCAACTTGCAGGATCCAATCTGCGAATGATGAAGAAGAGCACCATCGCCCATCATCTTAGGTTGTCATCAAAAACATTTTTTGACAAATCGACGTAAACAGGGTCATTATTCCAAATGCAACCCCCGTCCGCTGGAGCTGACCTCGGCCGAGGTACGTAGGCACATCCACAACCCGTCCCAGTCCTCCCCCCGCCGTCCTCGACCCGGCACGGGAGCTAGGCCGGAAGCTTCGGTGGAAGAAAGCATGACTTCGAGCCGGGCAACTTACCAAGCAGACATACCTAGTATTCAATATCTCCAAAATCAGTAGTACCTAACTGAATACGGATAGTCAACCGTGGTTCTGTCGGGTTTCTAGACGGCCTTTTTCTAGTTTGATAATTGGCACCCAAGGTGATTGGCCTGATGCAAGCAGACGTCATTAACAATTGCTGGTCCTGAATTGTAGCGCAACCTCGGAATAGTGGCTTTGCCTCAGAAATAGATCGTCACCTCCCATCAGCGTGAAGCTCAATACATGTAAGCTTAGGTAGGTAGGTCCCAGAACGTAGGAAATTAGTAGAATCATGATAATAAGCCCATCGAATGAAACTTCCACCGCCGGTTCGTTTGAGTCTCCGTAAGTCTGCCACAGGCCAGCGGTAAAATGCGTCTCATCAATTTGTATTTCATTGTTTCCTTATGCTGTTCGGCAGCCGGTAGCGGGGTATCATATTGGACCATAACCATCCTCGTCCTCAGTATTCATCGTAGTAACCGTCGTACTCGCCAATCTGAGCCTGAGTACTGACCCATTCCTCATCTGCCAAGCCGCGCATCATCCGCCTCTGGAGAGCCTGGGCATCTTTGTGCCAGTCGCAGGCAAAGTCACAATTTGGCGTTTCGCTCTCGCCAAAATATCTGCAAATCTGCGCATGCCGACAGGCCGTTGTGTCTTCGCAATAAAGGGCGAGTTTCTGCAGGCTCTTGGCCTGAGCCTCCCAATTCGATCCGTCGCGGTTCCCTTTTCTGATCATACTCTGCACGCGTTCCAAGTCTTCTCGGCTGTAGTACAGAAAACAGAAACTTGCGTTCCCGTCTCTGCCTGCGCGGCCTGCCTCTTGGTAGTAACCTTCAAACGACTTGGGCAACCGCCAGTGTACAACGAACCGGACATTGTTCTTGTCAATGCCCATGCCAAAGGCTGTCGTAGCCACGATAATATCGTAGCCAGGCTCGTTGTTTACCCAGCGAGCCAACGTTTGTTCCTTCTTTTCCTTGGTAAGCTTCGCGTGGAAGGGCATCGCGCCCACACCTTCGTCTCTGAGTGCCGCCGCAAGTGACTCGCACTCATCTCTTGAAATGGTGTATATAATTCCAGAGACGTTGTCCAGGCGCTCTCCAGCAGCCTCCAACTCTGACTTGCGTGGCTCTGTTTTTCTCCTCTCGTACACCCCACGTATCCAAGCTAGAAAGTTAGATAGGCGATCGTCCTCCTGGTCTTTGGTGTATCGGATCTCAATGTGTAGATTGGGCCGATGAGCAGTCATGACGAAACTCTTCAGCCTTTCAGGTTGCTCTAGGAGACCAAGCGTCTTAAGCAGATCCTGACGAACCGTGGGGTTTGCTGTTGCCGTCAAGCACGTGATGGGCACCTTGGGAAACGTCTCTCGAAACCATGAAAGCTTTTTGAAATCTTTCCGAAAATCGTGGCCCCATTCTGAGATGCAATGTGCCTCGTCGACTGCAATGCGTGCCAACTCACACTGCTCGTGGACCAGCTTGATCCGTCTCCTGAAGGAATCTCCTGAGCATAGCTCCGGTGTCACGTAAAGTAGTCTGATGCGCGGATGGCCACTAGCGAGATCCTGGTTGATGCGATCTCGTTCAGCGGGCGGCGTGTTGCTGTTGAGGGAGCTGGCATCGATGCCCGCCGATCGCAGTGCTTCAACCTGATTCATCTGACGGAGCTGTCAGCTGTCGCGCTTGAGTAAGGCTGCAAGGTATACCCCTTACCATGAGACTGAGCAGTGGCGAAACGACAATGGTGACTGCCGCAGCGAAATCACGTTAGTTGACGACGACGCGTGCATGCGAGCTCGGAGCAGTTTCGGGTACTTACTCCCTTGGTCAATGCAGGCAGGGAGTTGGAAGCAAAGACTCTTGCCGAACGACGTCGCGGCCTGAACGAAGACATCGTGGCCGTCCAGGGCAGCAACGATGATTTCACGCTGTTGGGGTCTGTGGCGGTTTTGTCAGTCGGTATTGTGTGGTTACGGGTACGTGCCATGGGCGTAGCTTGTGAAGTTGGCAATGGGACGAGGAATAGCTCTTCACCTGAATGTCGACTTGTTGAACTGGCGTCTGAGAGTGAAGTCTATGTCAACGCATGAGTTGGAGCGCGACAGAGGAGGCATGATGACGATGCGTTGTCGAGAGTTGATGAGGGGTGTCGTCTTGACGTGAACAAGACTGGTGTCTTAGTCTCGATGGGGTTATGCTTGGCCGAGCTTCTGGATTGCTTCTATTGCAGGGCACGGAAGCATAAGGTTGCACTAGACCAAGAAGAGGGCCCGGATGTGGTCATGATCGAGCTCGGGTCCGGAGGTGGTCCGTCAGGCGTTAGGCCTTTGGTGGGGTCCTTGGAAAGCCGGCCTGTCCGAATACCCTCAGACAGGAAGCGGAGCGAGAAAGTCGGCTTTCTCAGTGGATGTGCGCACAGGCGGACCATCCACCGATCAATTGGGGTCGATGTGAGAATTCCGAAATGATTCTGCCGACGTACGAACGAATACCTAGGTAGTCCAAGTGGCTGCTGTCACGCGTGGCTGTGCTTCTTCAAAAGAGAGGCAAGCAAGGGCATGGAGATGCATACCGGGTTCATGGAACGAAGCTACGAACGGACAGCAGATTCAGAGATGGATCTCAGGGCTGACCAATGGCATGGAGGCCTAAGGCTGCAAGGGCGGCAGAGGTGACATTTCCTTAGCTGCGTTTGTTGTCGAGAGTCGAGACTCAAGGGCCTGAGGCCGGGCGAAGGAAGCAGAACAGATCATCGAACCGTGGGTGACATACTTCGTAGGCTGTTTCCTTGAATACCATGGATAATTGCCTTTTTTTCTCCGGCTCGTAACAAGAAGCAGGGACAACTGCAGGAAGGAGCCGCCAAGACCAGGACACGGAGCAGGTAAAGTAAGAAGGGTGAACGGGGTAACCGTTGCCGCCGTGGATACAATTGACAGGAGTGCTCCGCGTACTTGCTTTTACTTCACACGGGGTCAATATGAGGCGATTCGAGGGGGTGATGTTTGCAAAGGTAGAGACAAAATGAGAAACAAGCGGCCAGTCCCCAGTCTCCAGACCAAACTTCTCGGCCATTTCCTATTTCAGAAAGCTTCGCAAATGATGCTCTGCTGTCAACATTGCGCAACCCGGGCCACCCCTTCCCGTCCAGCTGGGACATTGAGGACTACTACTTGCAGGTAAGGCAGGGGATGGAGAGAAAGACGCTTAACCCCGTATAACATGACTATTACTCGATATAGCACAGAACGGGAATCGTGTAGGATGTCAGGACTCAGCAGGAAATAATTATTGCCGGCGGGATACCTACGCTACCTCTTTGTCGAACAGTCGACCCCAAGGCCAGTGTCGGTAGGATCACAGACGGCGCATTGTGCAGCGGGCGCGCTTTTCCCAAGCAGTGAAGGTTCTCCCAGACTCCCACGGTGGGCTCGCTCGGGCTGGGCGTCAGTGTTACGGACTGGGGGTCATTGCTTGCTGATTCAGGGCCACGTTGTGATGAATCGCACACAAACATTCGCCGATATCTGGCACGGTGCCAAGGTGTATGTGTGCCCGTCGTTAATTCAGTCCCCTTATGTGGGAAAGCCTCAACCACCCAATTGGGTGGATCGAAACGAGGGCCGGATCTCCAATATCGTTGCCTCCGGACGCTGATCTTTCTACACAGTAATGAAGAGAAGCGCGGGGCTCATGGTCTTCATGACCGTGGTCGAGGAGCGCCGTGATGCGTGGGTAGCAAGGGCAAGGCGAAAGGCAAACTTGGAAGGGATTTCCGTGCTTATTCCCAGCAGACTTTGCCTTGAAATTGACGCCGGGCGGCATGTCTGACAGGCCGTTGGAACACACGGCCCCAGATCTGCAAGATGAGTTTTATTCTTACCTTAGCTTATATCTCGACGATGTAGATGCAGATGCAGATACCGAGAGAGATGCCTATAGTACGGATAGACATTGGCAGAACCACCCCGATCAACACATCGATGCGCCCAATAGCTCGTCGTAGAGTACAGACCTAAGTGCCTGTGCTCTGTACTCCGTACCCCGTACGGATATGTGCGTACGAAACCACGTTGTACAATACTGGAGCTTCCCCCCCTCTCGTCATCGCTTCTCGGGTTCCGTGGATTGATACGAACTATCCCGACTCTGTAACACCCTAGTAGCGAACTGGATGTGTTCGTTTCCATTTGTCCTTAGGCTAGCCTGTCGCGCCTTTTGATTCAAAGTTCATCTCAGCAACAAAAAACCAGGCCGCCAGGGATCATTCGAGGGCGAGATTGAGTGCGGGTGAATGTGGGGGCGAACGGAGACTGAAAATTGGCAGGGTGCATGGCTTGTAGCTACGGAGGCTGCTACTCTGTAAGTGTATCTGTAGCATGGAAGAAGTAACCGTAAACGAAGGCGTGCCGCATGCCCTTGGAAATAAGATTCAACAAAGTAAGCCAAAATACTGGGGTCGGAGAAGATGTTGTAGAAACCGCGTGGGAGGTTGAATGGAATGCGACGCTGACACGGAAGACTTTTCTTGTGCAAACTGCGTTTCCCGGTAATAGCACCCTGCCTTTGTTTCTGTTTCTCGCCCTTTTTGCGCCAGAAATACTCCCAGGGGCTGGGGAGTCTGGCTTGTCTGGGTGTGCGCCCCGGTCGTTTCCCGTTTGATCTGTTCTAGACCTCTGACCAGCAAGCGGCAGGCCACCTGCGCCAGTGCCAGTGCCGCATCTGTCTCTCCTAGAGTCCCAGTCGATCCGTCTCGCACAGAGTATCGGTACGGTGAAGGAGCATTGAGGAGCGAGGTATGATCCTGGTCTCTTGACTGTTGGGTATCATAGGGTGACACACAATCTGCACAGTTGGGAGAGATGTTTCTCGGCGTGACATCAAGCCGCAGCAGAGTCGTTCGTGGAAGCGTCCGAGTGTCCTGGAACAGCTGGCCACAGTCCTCGATATCGATCGTGGTGTGTGGCCCATGTGCAGTTGGTGGTTGTGTGTAGCCACCCGATGCCTTATTTCAAACGAGGCGTGTCACGTTGATGCCCGAGTCGACCATGTCGTCAGGAAAAGTTTCGTTGAGGCAGCAGGGACAAGAACAATGTGCTGCATGAGGTAAGGTAGTCAGTCCTGCGTACAAAAGTATTAGTCGAGAAGAGGGAGGGGATATGTTGAGAGTTCTGTCAGACTGTCATATGCGCTTTGGTCAAGTCTTCCCGCCCGTCCGCATCTGCAGCACTGTGCGACGTGCGAGATCTGTGGGGAGGAGGAAGAAGGGGAGGAAGAAAAGTCAAGCTACCGCGAGCCGCGATGCGTCCAGGTGCCTTGCATTTTTGGCATTTGTGGTGCGCTACGAAACAAAGCTACCTTATGGAGGTATCCGTACCTTACCTAAGTTTCTACCTATTGCGTACGCAGTAAGGTGCTGATGGTGGAAGTGCGGCGTGCGGCGCGCCTGCCTTCACTTGGAGAAGCATTTTGGCGTGGGTGAGGTAGGTACGCAGTACGCAGTACTCCGTTCCTACCTAAAGGTAAGGTACTCAATTCACGCCCCCTCCTTCTCGCCTCCCGTTACACTTTTACACACCCCGCCCTTTCCCTTTTCCTTTTTTTATTTTTCCTTCCATCTTTTCCTTTTCCCTCCTGCCAGTGCTCAATGTCCCAGGTTCCAGCCAGTCGCGTGCCTCTCCTTTCGCGTGCCCTTCACCATACAGCCGCTCTCCCCCATACCCAGCCATAAACTCGAGTGTTGATATTCCCTCTCATTGGTTCTTCATGATGGCATCTATCCGTACAAGCACAAGCCTCTGCAATGGAAGTCTGCTAAAGCCAACAGTCTGTGCGCCAAGCTTCGACCCCCAAAAGAGACCCTCAAAGTGTAAAGCAGCTGGCTCACTGACCTTGCCTGACCTAAGGCAAGTTGCTAAGCATTTAGCATAGATATCCGTAGTACGGGAGAGCTTCTGCTCACCTCGGTTTGGATTCTGCAGACGGATATCTGACTGTATGGAGTACCTTAGTCTTCCATTCTGCACATGTGAGGCCCAGAAAGTGCCTGCAGCGTGCCCTGCCGTGCCTGCTTATCTTTACACGATCGGAGCCAGAAATGGAAAGAAGCAGTTCCACTGTGGTTCCACCCCGCCGCCCCCTTTTTTGGCTTCCTTCCCGTCCAACTGACTGAGATCTGGTCCCCCATTCTCGTCACCATCTGTGGTCATTGGTTAGCACGTACCAGGTAGGTACGGAGTACTGGATTGAAGACTGGAGTCGCTGGTAACTGGTCGAGGGAGGACGACACCTTAGCACCTTGCGGAGTACCTTACTTCGTACCTACCTACTGCGTACTGTTTCTCTTTCCCACTGGCTGAGGTTGTTTCCCCCCCGGTCCCCAAATAACATCAGAGGGCGTGCGGCTCCGACTCTAGACTTCCGCCAAGGGGGCGTGAAGCCAGTGAACGACAACAGTGACCACGTAGGTACTCCGTACTCCGTAGACCTCGAAATAATCCTCATCCCTTCTCCCCAAGTGCCCATCCACCACCACCTCCCAAAAGAAGCTCCGGTTGGCAAGATGTCAGTTTCATCGTAGCACAACCTGACAACGTCTCCACTCTTTTTTTTTGCGTTCCTGTCGGGTTCAACGTTCCTGCCTTTACAGTCTTCTGTTCCTCTTCCATTTTGCTTCCAAGGAAACACCCATCCAAGCGACGAGAGACACAGCCAGGAAAAGGGAAAGGGCACCCGCGTACGGAGTACCCAACCAGCCAGCCCTTGCCTGCCTTCTTTTTATTTCATGTCTCCTACCTTTTGCCGACGCCCACCCGTACCTTAGCAAGTTGTAACCAACCGTGACTTACCGTACCTTTGCCATCGTCGCCATTTCTATACCGCAGGCTCCCAAAGTACCTCCAATACTCAATTACGCCCGACCACTTTACCAGTCTGAATTGCAGTCATTCGAATATTGAAGAGACCCAACTTCGCCTCACCCACGCCTGCAGGACCTGTACTCGTATCCTAGCCTCTAGGTACGGTACGGATACCCCCGTCTGTCTGGCCTGCTGGCTGTGCGAGGTGTGCCGGGCCCAACTCCTGTTGACCGCGCTTGAAAGGCTCGGCTCCATCTTCGGTCGCTCGTCCCCGACTGGCGACTTCCTTCCAAATCGCACAAGTCCGCCTCCACCTCCTTCTTCCTCTACCGCACACCTACCCAACCTTGGCCTACCTTACCCGCAAAAAAACATCATTGCTCCCACCGATTTCGTCGCGCCTTATTCCAACGAATGCCCGACTCTTCATGATGATCTCGCGCGTCTTGCAGTTCAGCCTGTCCTGTTCCAAAAGTCCATTGGCTTAAACTCCCGGCTTCCGTCTCCAATTGTTTGAGGGTCCCGACCAACCCACGGCCGGCCATCCAACATTCAAAGGGGACCCTGAAACGCTGCAGTCGACCCAAACCTTCGAGTCTGCGACAACAATAGAAAATCGTCACTCTTCGCCCTCTCCCAGCCTTCTTTTGTCGATCGCCGGCAGTTCATCATGGTCGAACGAATGGAACGGCCAGACAGGCCATCGGGGCCGCAGATGCCTCGCGGCTTGCCCGAGAATCCCGCCCAAGGTCGACGACAACTCCAGAAAGATGCAGCACTCGGCAACATCCCTCCCCCGCCTCCCCTCCCGCCGATGCCCAAGGATCTCCGAAATCTTTCCACCGGCGCGAGCCTCTCAGCTTCCTCGCCCATGACCTCAGCCCAAGTCATCGCTCTCGCCCGCGATGCAATGCAGAGTGCTCTGCACGAAAACGAGTCGCAGGCCGCCGAAGCGAGTGCCGTGAGCAACGAACTGAAACCTGGCGTCACCATCGACTTGAGCCGCAAGGGCATCCAGAAGCTCCCAGATGAGGTTGTTGATATTATCAAGAATGAGTTGGAGCGGTTCGTACACCTCGCATGCCTTCTTGTCCGGCTGGGCTATATTTCTAACGCGCTTCTGTAGTCTCGCCCTATCGCACAACCAGGTCAATTCCTTCCCAGCTCGATTCTCCGAATGTACATCTCTACGATACCTCAATGTGCGGAATAATCAGATCAGGGAGTTTCCGCTGCCGGTTAGTATTTTCCTATTGGCAAATACATCATTGGTACTCTGGCAGATTCTGACCAATAACACTAGCTCTGCGATCTGAGATCACTCGAGATTCTTGATCTGAGCAAAAACAAGCTTCGTGCTCTGCCCCCTGACATTGTCAAGCTTGCTTCTTTGAAGGTTTTCTCCGTCCAGAAGAACCGGATCGAAGAGCTGCCCGTTGCTTTGTCCGACATGGTTTCGTTGCAGGTGCTTAAATTCGATGGCAACCCAATCACATTTCCGCCTCGTGAGGTCCTGCAAGTACAAGCAAGCAGCCCGCCAAACGAGGGCTATCTGAAAGAAAGCGAAGTCACCGAGGTGGCTGTCACTGCACACATCAAGCGCTTTCTAAGACAACATGCCATGAACGGCCGTGCAGAGTCAGACACAGCCGGTGAAGAATCCAGCGAAGGCGTGGAAACCCCACGTATGCCACCGATCAAGCGAGTTGTGAGCGGTCGATTTCCTATCAAGGTCAATGGTACCGATGTGCCTGATCTTCGATCCCCGAACCTGATTCGGCCTCCACCTATTCCGAATCGGTCGCATTACCGAGGGTTGTCTCAGCAGAACACAGCTGTCCGCCGTCCTGGTGTTATGCCGTTAACCATAGGAAATGTCAACGAGCGACTCCGAAGCAACTCAGAGACGTTGTTGCAGGCAACTCGCGGAGAACGCCCCGAATCTCGAGCAAGACGCATGGGCGTGGTATCTCAGAAGGCTACTCAGCTCGGCACCTTGGATGAGACCCAGGCCAACAACCGCTTCAGTCACTACAGAGGCCTGAGCCATGGTAGTGCCATGCAGCCGCCTCCCCCCAGCATGTCGGTCAAGAGCCCCAACAGCCCTGCAGAACCTTTTCTCCAGCGTCCGATTTATGTCAGAAGACTCTCTGTTCTCCCTGAACGCAGACGCGAGTCCAAGTTCTACGATCCCATTCTCGAGGCCGCCAAGGGCATCCTATATGCCGTGTTTCAAATCCATCCCATGATCCAGATGCTCATGAGCTTGACGAGCGATGGCTCCTCCAAAAGATCTAGTCTCGAGATTGTCTTCTATAACACGAATTCGCATGTGGAGGAGCTGGAGCAGGAGATCCAGAAGCACGACCCCATGGTGGCGGGAGACGAGATGGCGGGCCGCGACAATGAGAACGTCCACCGGGCTTGCCAGACTCTGGTTGGGGCTTATACCCATGTCTGCACCCTCCTCGCCGGCAATATCGACTCATTTATCGACAACGGAGATCCGCGCTACATCCGCACTCTACTGATGCTCATCTATAATAGCATCATGGAGATCAGATGTACTCTTGCCGCGTTGACACCAGAGGCTGGCTTGACCAAGCCCCCTACGCGGGCCATGAACATGAGCGACACGATCAAACCCCATTCACGCGACAACTCCATCACGCCTACCGCTGACCGGCTTGGATTGGCCCAGCGACCACGGCCCGGCCCTATTATGCACAACCCGAGCAACCTCAGAGTTGCGACAGACGTATCCCTTCCATACCTGAACGGAATCAGCGGTATGAATGGCATGAACGGTACGAATGGAAACGTAGCAAGCCGTACAGCAACGCTCACTTCCGCAACGCCACGGTCAGGAGAATCGTTTGCGTCGGCGTCATCCGGGGGGCGTGGCATATCCGATTTCACCGAGGACGACAGACACTTTGAGAGAATTTTCCTCGCCCTGCGGGAATCGTCAAAGGTTGTCTCGCGCACTTTACCCGGTTTCCAGGGCCACATGTCGGTCCTCGCGAAGAGGGCAATGGGACGTCGCGCATCCGAACACGAAATGAATTGGTGGAAGGCTCTTATCAGCAGATGCAGCACGGCTTTGCAGCAGACGGAGATGTTGCAGAGTCGCCTGTCACTAATCAAACTCAAGGAGCCTGGTCTAATGAACCAACCTGCCTTCAGAAATTTGATCAGCAACTTCATGGACTCGTGGTATGAATTTGGAGATCACATTCGCAAGGCGATCAATGAAGTCAGTCTTCCACTTCCAGCCGATACTAGGAACCGACTACGTCCTATTCAGGTTGCCATGAAGCAAGCAAGGGATACCATTGTTCAGTCGCCTTGGGGCTACTTGTTGCGACAGTCTTCGAACTCCAACATGTTCAGCCCGAACGGCGGCCCAGGCTTGGGGCCCATGCAGTTGCCAATGACGCCTCAGAGCGCAGCGTTGGGCCCTGCTGTCCAGGCGACAGTTCCTTCGACTCCGCAGAGTGCTTCCTTTGCCTCGGCCTTCAACGGCGGCGTTTTTGAGCGCGCGGATGCTCTCATATCTATGGGTGGCCTCTCAATGTCTCGCAACGGTACGATGACAAACAGCTCGGCCGCTAGTTTCACCATGTCTTCCATGTCATCGCTCTCATCCGATGGCGGTGCCATGACACCATCATCAGTCATTAGCCCTAATGGCTTCGGCCCTGGCCCGGTGCCACTGCGACTCAACGGTAGCAAAGTTGCCTTCTAGTCGAAGCGCAGAGCCACTACACCTTGGATTCGCCGCACATTTTGGGGCAAAAAGTACGGATCGCAATCAAAGTAGATCCATTTTGTTTTTCTTTGTTTATACGGTGGTCTGGATGGCCAACAACCGCATTTTGTCTCATTCCTTCATTCGCGCATAGCATTGGCGTCACGGTCGGACTCATTCACGGATGGTAGCCATACACTCATTTGAAAAAACACGTCTCGGACCACTACGCAGGTCAAGGGGCGCATGTAATGTTATAGTCACGAAGCAAAGTGGATGCCATCTCCCTGCATACAGGACATGGGGAGCGCGGGCACCAGAGAAATGGCCGCTACGAGTTCATGTGCCACGGTTACACATCAACTATAGCTGTCAGCTGTATACTAGATTTGGTCTATTAGCAAATAGGCAAATAGCAAAAGGTTCACCCGGAGATTTACTTTGAGAAAACATGTGATGTAGGCAGCTTGTAGCCCTTTACCGTATGTCTTTTGGCTCGAGCTAAGCATTATGGACGAAACACGCCTATGTCTCTACTCATTATACGACCATACCTACCGGAGAACTCGGGATCCTATCCGCTCTCGCATTAATAAGCAGTAAGGGTAAGCATATCTGAAAGAACGGGATCCCAAACGACTTAGTTTCTAGAGTAATACCCGACCATGCCTTACCAATGTAAGTTTACGCTGACGACATCTTTGGCAGGCTGATGAAACTTTCTGAGGCTTTCGATGGGTCGCCGTACTGTTGTGATCTATAGTTCTGACGGAGGTTGCGGGCTTCCGTGTGCTTTGGCTGACTTTAGAGCCCGAAGACGCGGGGGTTCCATCGGACTTACATAACAATGTAAGCGGATAGTACTCCGAATAATCACCCCTCTCTCGAAATACGGCACATAGTGACCGATGACGTCACAATGTGATGCGCACCACGTACTCAGGCACTAATCTCAACCCCTATCGGCATAGCGGTATGATAAGGTTCAACTACAAACCTTAAGGTATTGATCGGTCCCTTCTGATCATGGTCGTAAAAGCAAACCCAATTGTGTGGTACTCGGGTATAAGAAGTAGGCTTCCTACCCGGCGAACAAGCTGATTCCCGCGGTCCCTCGCCTTCATCTCAGAAGTTCACCAAAGATTCCAGCTGCCCCCACAAGCTCAACAAATTCCCAGCACTCACAATGTCAAACTCGTCAGATCGCGCTCCCGTACGAGACCGGGCTGAGGCAGATGCCTGGTTTCCATCGCCCTTCTCTTTGACCAAGTACACCTCGCCCAAGACCGATTTTGATGGAGCCGACTATCCCAATGCCTATAAGGGGGACAAGTGGAAAGTACTGCTCATTGCAACTCAAGAACGATATCTTAAGATGGCCGGTGGCGAGTTCTTCTCAACAGGAAACCATCCCGTAGAGATGCTTCTGCCCATGATCCACCTTGACGCTGCTGGTTTCGATATTGACATTGCGACGATCTCGGGAGACCCGGTCAAATTTGAGATGTGGGCTTTCCCAGAAGAGGACGATGCGGTGAAGAAGATCTTTGACAAGTATAAGGAAAAGATCCGTAGCCCACTCAAGCTGAACGACGTGTGGGGTGAAGGGTTCACCAAGGAGACTCCTTATCTCGCTGTCTTTATTCCTGGTGGACACGGGGTCCTGAACGGCATCCCCTTTTCCGAGACTGTCGGCAAAGTTCTACGGTGGGCTCACAACAGTCAGAGATTCTTCATAACTCTGTGTCACGGTCCCGCAAGTATGCTTGCTGCCGATGTTGGTAAGCCAGACGGAAGCGAGTTCATATATAATGGCTACGCGGTCGATGTGTTTCCGGACTCTTTGGACCAAGGGGCCAATGTTGATATTGGGTATATTCCTGGCAAGATGGAATGGTTCGTGGGCGAGCGGCTTCGCAGTCTCGGTGTGACGGTCCTCAACAAGGATATTACCGGTGCTACTCACCGCGATCGTCTCCTTCTTACTGGAGATTCGCCATTAGCGTCAAACAATCTCGGGAAGCTCGCTGCAAAGACGTTGCTGGAGGAAGTTGAGAGGCTCTCGTGACGAAGTCGATGTAGCTTAGCTGTTTGAGATTATGACGCGGCCCATCATGGTTTTCTATGGTGACTTAACTAGGCAAATATCAAAACTTTGAATCTGGAACATGCCTCTATTTCGCCGTCGGGAACGACCTAGATTTGGAAACATGTCTTGGTTATGAAGCACGCCTGATCCTGAACATAGTTCAATCAGAACTCTGAAATCGAGTGAAAATCAAGGGTTCTCAATCAAGCCAAACTCTGGCAGTTGTCTTTATAACCGTGATCTCCTCCACGTCGTATATCTATTGCTCGATTACTCACAGTCGGAACGTATTCCACCATCATTCAGTCTCGTACGTTTACTAGTTGATTCCCAGTGAACAAGGCAACAGGTGACTCAAGTGAAGCACGTCTAGTGCCCTCTTGGTCTCCTATACCTCCGCGACCGACACGTAGGCCAGAAGCTCCTTGGCATACGCAGCGGCCACGGTCGAGGCGTAGCATTGCCATCGGCCATTCTTGCGGAAGTCGGCGTAGGCACATGTCCCTCGGATCACGAGACACGGAAAGTGGTTCATCAGGCCGGCTGTTTTCCTTCTCAAACCAGATGCAATCCTCGCCGACACCGGCAACAATAATCCTACACCTCTCTACGAAGAATGACACCTCAGGCTTCTTCTTTCTTCTTCTCCTCGACCTTGACAAACAAGTCCCGCTGAGTGTCGAGGTAATCAAAGGCCGTCAGGGGCACCCCCAGATGGCGGAGGATGCAGTAGGCGGAGCCGAGGTGGAAGTGGAAGTTGGGGCAGGCGTACTGGACGACGTACGAGTAGCCCGTGAAGCGGAAGGTGCCCATGGATTTCGTCTCCATAAGGATTTCGTCGTCTTCGCGGCCGGCGGGCATGGAGGTTTCCGGGTCGAGGGCGGCGAGGATGGCGACGGTGGCGTCGACGCGGGATTGGAGTTGGGAGAAGGTGGTTTCGTCGTCTGGGAAGTAGGTGTCTGGGGCGTGGGCTACGCGGGTGGCGAGGAATTTTGCGGTGTTGGAGATTGATTGGACTTGGTAGTCGAGGCTATATTTGGGGGTTGTTTTGGTTAGCCGAGGATTTTGGGACCCATGTTTGTCGATATTGGGATTTGGGATAGAGATGTGTCAGAGGAAAAGGGGGTGTTGGGTGAGAGAGACAGGGGCTTGGGGGGGATTGAAGCTTACCTTCGCATATCCTCGATGAGCCTGGACTTGATCATCTCTTCTTGGTTGAGACCTTTAGCGACGCAGTGCTGTTCGGCTTTTGTGAGGATGACTTTGAGATTGCCCAGATATTTGAGCATCATGGGGATGGAGGCATTGTAGAGTGAGACCATGTTGGCGGTGTTGATTCGAATGACTATGAGCTTCACAATCCTTGCTTTGGCATATAAATGGAAATGAGAAGGCTGATGAGGACAAAAGACTGGGGAGATGCGTGGAGGGAATGAGTCCTTTTTATTTCACTTCACATCGTATCCTGAGGAAATCTTCTAGTTTAATAACGAGTGCCCGTCGAGATGACATCTCTGCGTCAAGATGACCCTAGACTGACTACTAGTCTTTGCCAATCTCAGGTACGCCTCATACCAAAGGCCCGTTTGTAATCCGGCTACCGGCATCATGTCTCTCAAGTGGAACAGAAAGACGGATTGGGAATCTATGATTATCAAGCGCTGACGTGAGACTACAGTAGAGATATGGGCTTGTTCGAAGTCAAAGTTCTTCCTATACCGCGCGCGAGGCTCGATGTGGTAAACAGCTTAGAGTCCATAGGGAGAGACTCAAGGTATCGAGTCTAAAAGGATAGGACGTCGTGGAGTTTGCACTTGATCCTCCGGGACCGACCGGCCCCACTACCCCGCCATCTCATGCGGGGAGCTATCAGCCGATCCCGTCAGCTCCTCTGATTCGCCGTCACCACGACTTACCTGATCGAGGCAGGACCGGTGATTTCTCTAGTGTATCCCTACTGTACCTTAGGTAGGTAGATCGCGCAAAAGTCTTGGGGATTCAAGGCTACGTGGCTACGCAGACGCGCAGATAACCTTACCTTTCTCCCCCGCCACCCGCATAGTCTCCCACTTGCCTAGCTCACGATCCTTTCGAGAGCTCTCTTCATCTCCCCACCACGGAACCGGAAGCATACAAGGTACACGCAAGACCCCATTTCCCATATTCTTATCCAGAAAGTGAGCAGTGGTATCTGCGCGTGGGTATTTTACACGCGCGTGTACCGTATACCGTACACCAGAAGGACTCAACAACGCACCGCCGTCATGTTCGCCTCGCTATCATCATCCTGGTCGGGGAGGAATGCGCAGCCGCCGCCTCCCCCGGCGCCGTCTTCATCAACGACCTCGACGTCGCAACACCCCAGCATATCAAGCGCCTCCCGCGCAGAGCACCCGCAGTCCTCCAACACCTCCGTCTCCGGCCCCGCGGCCCCTCACAACGTGCTCATCGGCGCCGCTCAACAACACCAACTACAACAGCAACAACATGCACCACCACCGGCCCCCGCCTCTGCCTCCTCGGCGGCGGCCGCATCAGCCTCCTCCTCCTCACCGCCCCAACAACCCCTCCACCAAACCCTCCCCTCCCCAGACCAACAACACCACATCTCCGAGGCGCGCGCCGCCGTCGTCGCCTCCATCGGCAACATGCTCGACGGCGAGCTGCAGACCCGCGCGCGGATGTTGCACGCCAACGCGGCGGCGCTCGACAAGCAGGAGCGCGACGTTGTGCGCGCGACGGAGGCGCTGCGGAAAGAGAACGACAAGCTGGCAAAGTTCTCGGGGGACGCGGCGCGCAGGGTGAAAGAGCTGGGCAACGTACAGAACTGGGCCGAGGTGCTGGAGCGGGATTTCTTGGTGCTCGAGGAGACGTTAAGGCTCGTAAGGGCGGGGAGTTGCGGGAGCGGGTGTGAGAGTTGTGGGAGTGAAGGGAGTTGGAGTGGGAGTGGGAGCTGGAGCGGGAGTGAGGTCGGGGATGGGGAGGGGGATGTGAGGATGGGGAAGGACGGGCATGGTGGTGATGTGAACAAGGAGGGTGATGGTAAAGGGAAGATGAAGCAGCAGCATCATCATCATCATCATCATCATCATGGGCTTGTTGATATGGAGATTGATGGGGGACATGAGGATTGTTCGGAGAGTCAGAGTTTGACTGAGGCGGAGTCGAGCACTGGGACGGATGGTCGAGCCAAGGGGTCTGAGACGACATCGATTTCGACACTGTGATCTGCTTGTGGCGGTGGTGGACAGACATGATACCTTTTTTCTTCACGACTGAACGATGATGATGACCTATTCACGAAACGGACTGAAGTTCGAACAACAAAGTTTGATGATTTTGAAACTTTTACCCTCCTCTTTTGACGCCTTTCCGTACTAAACACCTCTAGGTTCTTTCCAATACATATCAAACGTCACCTTTCGCCATGATATCATTTCGTGAAAGAAGTCGATAGCTCAAGATATAGTTCGGGCGACCAAGCTATACCATTGGATATTGAACATTGCACAATCTAGAAGATGCCGGGCAGCAGCACAAACTTCTTCTTCTTGTATGTCTCGGGGAACTCCTTGCGGTACGCGCGCTCCTTGCCCTTGGCCCACTGGGCCATCTGGGCGGCGCCGATGATGATGAAGACGGCAACAGCCCAGCTGCGGCTGGTGATGATGACGCCGACCCACGAGAGGATCTCAAACATGTAGTTGGGGCAGGTGACGAGGGAGAAGCCGTAGCCGCGGGGGATCTGGCGCTCGGTGCCGCCGCGGGAGCGCAGGCTGGCGAGGTTGAGGTGGACAATGGCGTTGGAGGCTTCGCCGAAGAGGAAGATGATTGTGCCGATCACGTCGACGGCGTCGTTGCGCGCGAGGGCGGTGGGCGAGGTGGGCGAGTAGACGTGCCAGGCGCTGAGGAGGCCGGCAAAGGCCCAGTAGAAGAAGGAGTTCTTGAAGATGTTGCGGAGGGGCATGGTGTTGGCGGAGAACTTGTGCACGAAGAGGGTCTCGTATTCGCGCTTGAGGAAGTGGCCGAGGAACATGGCGAGGGTGAGAAGCTGGGTCGGCGAGAGGGCCTTCTTGGCGCCGGGGCCCGAGTAGATGTAGGGGCGCAGGCCGACGACGGCGATGTGGATGAGGATGGGTCCGAGGTACTCGATCACGAAGACGGTGCTCCATGCCAATTGGGGTCCTGCGCAGAGAAAGGAGTCAGTTCCGATGTCTCGTCTATGTGCTTTCCAACCCCCTCTGTCTGGGACTGGGCGTTGGACAGCAACGTACCGAGATCCTTGACCAAAACCTGGCCGGCGGAGATAACAGCATCCTCGCTGCTAATCTGTGCCTTGCGGTTCTTCAGAGTCTTCTGGGTCGAGGGGTCGAAGAGACCGACGCGGTTGAAATCGCTGAATCCGGCCTGGCGGGCAATGAGGTGCTTGACATCCTCGACGGTGGCATCGGCCGGGACTTCGATAGACTCGGGGAGCTTCTTGATCGGTTGCTTCGGTGCTGTGGAAACACGTGTAAGTAATTTTCTCAGTGGCATCCAACACAGAGTGTGTCTTGAGAGGAATTACTTACAGCGGTTGCTCAGCTTGAGCGTGATTTTGGCTGCCATGGCTTCTGACTGTCCTGAGTAAGACGAGGGGTCGTCGCTGGGAAATTCAAAGTGCACTTTTTGTGTCTGCCCGGGGAAGCTTGGAGGAGGAAGGGCTTCAACGGTGCTGGATTTCGGAGCAGTTGTTGAGAAGCTACTGCACGGCCGCTCGATGTGCCTCGGGATGGGTGGGGTTCTGATGCATTGGCATATTTTGAGTTTGTACCTTGTAGGTGCATAATGCTTCTCTATGCATGGAGGACGGGCGCATCACTTTAAACGACACGAATAACTAACATCATTCAGACCTGGCTGCTTGTGACGACAAATCGCCTATGAATTGGCGCACATGGCTTTGCTATAGACATCTTAGCTAGTAGTCCACATAATTCTACTGTACTTCTGTTATCTTGGGAAAGCATCGTAAGGTTCCCAAAACATTTGGATATCGAATCAAAGCCGCCCGGACACAGTCCCTTCAGGGTTCTCGAAATGGCACCTCAACTAACAGCGAATTCGAGGACCTTGCTTGCCCCCCTATAGAATTTTGGGCTTGAGATTCTCGGCATCGGGATTTGAATATGCTGTCTCTGGGGCCTCTGGTGTTTCCCTCGACCATGTCGCTTTTGATTTTTCTCGAGACGGTTCGTTGTGCGACCCCAGACTTTGAAGATGCGGCCTTCGAGACCAGGTGGACTGTTCAGGACAACCTCGACCTCGGTCTTGATTTGTCCTAGGATCTTGGGGGCCAAGTATTCAAAACAGTCCCCTTTCACTCAGAAATCTACCGCGCTGATGACCCAGCCGAGTGTAACTCATGCTACACCGCAGTGTTTGAAGTTGCTGTTGGCTTTGTCTTTGCTTGTCTCATGGTTTTTTTTCCTGGCAACTTCATCTTCTGTCGAGAAATTTCTGTCAGGTACTCCCACGGAATAAATGTTCGAGAGCCTTTGTATCTGGTCAAAACAAGAAGGGATGGTTCTCGAGAGGTCCTCGAAGGACCTTGGGTCCCGAGTTTCAAGTGAATCTTTGCAGGCCATGCCTTGCTTGTTATGATCGTATTTTGCAGCATCAAAACGACTGTTCAAAGTTGGTTCAAGAAGAGAACAGCTTTTGGCCGACCGTCTGGTCGATACAGAGAGGGTGCATGAGAACCTAAGTGCCTGCCTTCCGTTAGTCAAGGTGCACCCACACCATGCCTCCCACCTCCCGCCTCCCACTTCTCCAGTCCACGAATCTTCCCTTCCTTTGCCTTGCCTCCGGCTTCAACCCTTTGATTTCTACCTCTGCTTCGAACTCTTCACCGTCGAGTATCCTCACAGTTGCAGTGGTTCGAGTGATCCACCTCTCCCCAAGAGAGTGAACACTCAATCACTTTCACCATCCATTCACGCATTTACACAACATCGTCGATTCAACATCACATCGCCTATGAGTACGATTAAATGAATTCCATTCTCTGAGCGTGGGAAAAACACTTTTCCATTCGTTATTCCACATACTGACAATAGCTTTTCAGCAGCATAGCAGCATAGCAGCATCGCTCTCGCCCAACTGCCGACAAGCAGACTTTCTTCTCAGAGCCCTTCAAAGCGTCCAAAATGACTAGTCTGGGTGCCACTCCGGAGTTTATTCCGGGACGTCCTTTCCACCTTGGACTGGCGAAATGCTCCACGAACGCCAACAGGACCATCATGCCCTCCAACCGAGAGACACTTTCCTTGCGACGACAACGCAGTCGGAAAGTCCAGCCCAAGGTCGCCAACGTCCCGTCTTCTCCTACAGCTTCATCCAGCACAAGCCAACACTCAACAGAGACATCAAGTTCAGCTTTTGACGGTGTCGAAAATTGCAAAGACCACCACATCCATTCATCAAAGAACGACATACCCCCTGGCACGCCCACAGCTCCAGCAGCAGACCGAAGACGCCAGATACAGCTGCATCATATCCCAGTCTATCACAGTCGCGTCTTTCACACTCGACCCCCTCCGAACGCACCAACGGGCCCTGCAGCCGATAGAAGACAACTAACGAAGCTTGCACCAGTACCTCTTCAAGTGCCCCCTCAAGCCGTACCCAGTCACTGCCAGTCTAAGGTCTGGCGGAGCCCCAAGACGGAGTTGACGGACGCCTTCACAAGAGTGCAGCTCGAAATGCAACGCCTTGGCTTCAGCAAGTCGCCTGCTGCCCCCGCCACATTCGAGGACTACTTGGAAGTTGTACTAGCCGAGAAAGACCGCAAGATACAACTGAACGCCGTCATGTTAGAGGCCATCAGGTTGAAGACAGAACAACAGAAGAAGGCGCGACAGAAAGGCGGCGGCTCAGGCCATACCTCCAGCGGAGAACCAGCTTCGATTCAAGATCAGACCTCCGATGCAAAGCCCCATCTAGCCACTGCCAATCCATTGTATGGAGCTGATCCTTGCTGGAACATTCAGTACACCAAGACGACGGACAGGGCACAAGATCGATGTGCTGAATGGCCGACGCTTTCGGTCTACAAGGACGCGAGTCGCAGGGCTTTGAACAACAAAGGTCTGCCTCCTCCAAGACAGCGCAATGTTCAGGACCGAACACACATGGCACTTGGAGATGCGGCATGGGAAGAGCGCACACCGATTCACCAAGAACATGTTATCGGCTTGGACGACAGAAGGGGCATCTTCTCACTTGGGAACGATGCTTCAACCGAGACTGATCCGAATCACGACATAGACCCGAAGGGTCTCAATGACTGGACTCGTGAAATCATTGACGAAATTATCCTTGAGATAGAGGGCGACGAGACAACGATCCCGGACGAAGACAAAGCTTAGGCAGCGTTGAACAAGAGAAGAAAGAGATGCCGTCGAAGTCAATCGATATAAGAGGCAGAAAGAGGAGGTGGAATGAAGACATTTTATATGTCTCTAGTGCATTGGAACAAAGTTTGCAGTTGGTAAAAGCCAGTGCTGACTATGGATTGAATATACCGAGTTGGCTATCGACGAGGTCATTATTGGTGGCCAGAGCACCTGGAAGGAAACAAAGACGTACGACGCATAGAGAATATCGACTTTCATTGCCGGGTTTTGGCTGCCGAAGACCAGCGGGAATTCTTTTGAGTAGCTAGGGCTCTCGGACCAAGTCTAACTTGGATTCCGTATTGCGCAAAGGACAGAGATACGAGGAGGTTATTCAGAGAGCAAGTAGCCTCAAGGGTAGCATAGGCTTAGCGCAATTATAAAATTTCTCAAGCAACTCTCATCCACCATGGGAGGTGTGTGTCAGCTCTTTTCTTTATGCATCTCTGCAGCAAACCAATGTTCCATGGTGCTTTGTGAGTTTTGCATGGTAACAGGAGTAAAATGGCCTCGGAATGTCCGTGACACTGAAAGAGCTTACAGCATGCGCTTGGATGGCAAGTTTCGTTCTTGATTGTAATGAGAAGTGCGGCCAGAATGCTGCAATACGATGAACATACCTTGTGCAACGATTGAAACGGAATGTCTTGGTGGAGGTAGCAATATCTGGTTTGTTTGTGAATAGCGTCGCCTGCCCCTCTTCGAGTGAGTCGGAAGAACCTTAAAGAAGAAGAAGCTCGTTCCTGGCAGGAGCAACAGCCAGGGCCACCTTCCAAGGTAGGGGTCCTTGAGGTACCTAAGGGAAAAAAAGGTGCCCCTTTAGCTCAGGAGCATCTTCCACCGAGGTTCAGCCGTGGGGTGCAGGGCAGGAACGAGCAAAGGTGGAGGGCTCCAACCCAATGCGGTGAGAAGTGGGGATTTCAGCCTCTCGCTTTCTGCTTGCTGTCCTTCCACCTCTCGCCATCAAACCTTTCCTCCACACAAATACCTTACCTGCTTTGTTCTCCCTCCTCCTCTTCTCTCAACGACCCCAACCACCTCCAATACCATCTCCCTTCCTCTTGCGCGTCCTCTTCCCGGCATTGTATTTACTTTTCTCCAGGAGCGCATTGGTTCGCGGCTTGACTTTTCTTTCCTTTCCATTCTCCCAAAGACGCGAATTCAAAGCTTGGTTGCGTCTTTTACGCAACCCCCATAACCGAGATGTCAGAATTCTTAGGGTACGAAGACCTGGGGACCCTCCCAATCTCAAGCGCAATTTCGCTCGACATCCTTGCTAACCACATACACGTATATATAGATCTCGCATCTCCCTCATCTCCAAGAGCGACATTCGGTAAGGACTTGGAGGACTCTGCACTGCTCCCCAGTCCCCTTGCTCATCGCCTCTAGATATGTCGGCGTTCTTCACGAGATCAACTCAGACGAGTCAACCGTCTCGCTCGAGAATGTTCGCTCCTTCGGAACCGAGGGTCGAAGGAACAGACCCGAAGAAGAGATAGCACCCTCCGACCAGGTTTATGACTACATCATTTTCCGTGGCAGCGATGTCAAAGACTTGAGGATCGAAGACCACCCAGGTATGAAGGAGAACAAGCCTCCTGCCATGCCTGAGGACCCTGCCATTGTCAACGTAAGTATTCTTTCCGCGTACCTACTCTCCCTAGACGCATTTCATGATGAAATATTGCGGATGTAAATCTTTATCGTCTTGTCGGAAAAGCGCAACTTACACGATGTCGAAATTTCCGTTGCCTTCCTTCTGAATTGAAGCGTCACTTCTTCTCAAATCGTTTGATACAACGTATCAGAGCATGGCTAATCATGATGCGCATTACAGGCTCGTCCTCGTCCCGGCCAGGGACCCAACAACCAGCCGCCTCCCGCGCCTGGGTTCGGTCAACCTCCTTTCCAGAACAACTTTTACCCCCCACCTGGCCCATGGGGCCCCGCCCCGGGTCCTGGCCGCGGTGGTCCCGTTCCTCCCGCTGGCATGGGCGGCATGCCCTACCCTCCTCCGCCAGGATGGTTCCCTCCCGGTCCCCCGGGCCAAGGCTTCCCTCCCGGCCCTGAACAGTGGAACAACTACAACAACTACCCCCCCGGCCCCCGTGGACCTGCAGGCCCTGGCGGACCTCACGGTCCTGGTGGTGTACCTGGTCAGGCTCCTGAGAACCGTGGCACTCCCGGACCTCAAGATGGAAAGCCTGCGCCGATTGGCGCTGCTGGTGACAAGCAGAAGCCCGCCACTCCGGCCGCCCAAGGTGGACCAAGCGAACCGAAGACGGCACCACCGCCTGGGTTCCAGGCACCCGCTCCTACGCCCCCTGTCGACTCGAAGCCCTCTGTGGCAGAGGTCAAGGCAACTGCTGCATCTTTGAACGCAGCTGGTCCCGCTAAGCCTGTCGAGCTTCCTGTGCCTACAGGACCGAAGAACATCGGCCGTGTCCAGCCCGTCATTCCTCTGGCTGGCTCTATGCCCAAGGCCTTCCCAGTGCCTGTGAACGATAGCAACGCTGCGCAATCTGCTCCTAAGGCTGCTGCGGCGCCGACCGCCGCTTCTGTCCGCGATGCGACCGAGGCAGCGAAGGCCGCCGTCGCTTTGGCTATGGCGAACATGAATGCTGGCAATGTTGCAGTTCCGGCTGCCCCCCAGGGCAATGGCAATGCGATGGACAACTTGACTAAGAAGGTCAATGAAATGAGAGTCAACGCCGCCCGAACCACTCAGCCAGGAGGTGGCCGGGGCCGTGGCCGTGGTGGTCGCCAAGGTTCGGCACAGGGCCAGGGCCAGGCTAAGGTTGACGTCCCAGATGCGGACTTTGACTTTGCTCAAGCCAATGCGAAGTTCAACAAGGACGACCTGGTGAAGGAAGCGATCGCTGGATCCCCTCTGAACGAGACTCCTACCAACGGACCTGCAGCCGAAGTGCCTGCTCCCGAGGTCCCGGGCACAAACCCGCCGATTGCCTACAACAAGACCCGATCATTCTTCGACAACATCTCCAGCGAGGCTAAAGACCGGGCAGACAACAACGGTCAGAAGCCCGGCGGCCGTGAATGGCGCGGCGAAGAACAACGCAAGAACATGGAGACCTTCGGTCAAGGCAGCGTCGACGGCGGATACAGAGGCTACCGTGGCAGAGGTCGTGGCCGCGGCCGTGGCTTTGGCGGTGGTCGTGGTGGAAGAGGCAGCTACCGTGGTCGTGGTGGCCAAGGTGCTCCGTCTCCGGCTGCGAACTAGACGCCTCTTGAACCAGGGCATCGCGAACGGTTCCGCATGCCCCTTGGAGCAATCTGTCTCTGGACACTGCGATTCCGGGTCGGGCGAAGGACTCACGATTTTAACGGACGTAACTCGATTTTTGAATGGAGCATGCGTCCTTTCAAGACATGCCAATCATGCAACACTTTATACGATGTATTATCACTCCTCGATTCTCGATTTTTCTCGGATTCCCTTGGCGATGGAGCACTGGGCAGGCAAGTCCTCTGCATTGGTTTTGCCAGATGGGCAGGAATCATAGGACTGCTATTTTGACACGCATGGGATCGGAAGGAGTTTGGCAAGTGGTAGCCGCAAGCAATGGGAGCTGCGGTCTCATGAATGCGCGGTGACGACAAAAAGGGAATATCAGGCGTGGGTAGCTAGCATTGACTTCTCGTTTACTCGTTGGATCGGGGAACAACCCGGAACAACACGATACGACAGCAGAGACAGGTCTTCTACCTGGCATTCGAAAGGGAGCATGAGTGCCCTGATGGCCTGAATTCAAGCGATCAGAATTGGAGAAGGTACGAGAATAAGAGGATTTCTTTTGGTGGTAGAACCTAGAATCAGGCGACGTGGATGAAGACTCTGGGTCTTCCATCATCGAATGCAATCACGCCAGCCACCAATTCTCAAGTGCACCTATCCATCCATCCTATTGTGAGAATGTTGGCATAAGCTTACGTGTAGGGTGCGGGAAAAGCCATGAAAGCTAGACCATTACACCACGCGGCTTGAAAAAGTCTCACCTTGTCGATTGGATCGGAGACCTCTCAAGTGTGTATGCCCTGCTGGTGCCGGAGACAGGTCGCTGGTGCGGGTACTGGAGATAGGTTGTGAACTGAGGTGATGTGTAAAATTTGCCCCGCCACACCCCGCCAAACGTCATGCACCTCAGTCAGACACGTTTTCGGCGTGACACACTCTGCTTGTAAACCTCTAGTAGGCACACAAGACTTCTGCCTCCGTCGCTAAACAATTCCGAAGAAAAACACTCCACGACAACAACAATTCCCCTCTATTACTTACCTCACCACTGAGAAGCTCGCGCCGATTGAAACATTGCGCAATGTCGAGCCGTCAGCTACGCAAGCTGCAAAAGCAGCGGGAGCTCGAACAGCTCCAAGAAGCCCAGGCCACCGCAGACGAGTCCAGCGAAGAGGAACCCGAGCCCGCGCCCATCAAGCCCCGACAGAGCTTGTTTGCAGCTCTCGGAGGTGACGACGATGATGAAGACGACGAGGAGAAGTCTGATGATGCGCAAGACGAACCGGAGCCCGAGCCGGAAGTAGTGCCGCAGCCTGCGAAGAAGAAGAACAAGAAAAAGAAGAAGAAGGCCAAGAAGGCTGCGGCGCAGGACGAATCCCCCAAACCAGCCGACGACAAGGAGGATGAGATTGATCGGGCTCTTCAGGAGCTCAATATAGCCCGCAATGCAAGCACCGATGCCTCGGACAACCTCGCCCAACGCAGCCGCGATATCGACGACTTGTTGCAGATCAACACTCAGTACCTCAGAGCGATCCACGAGATGCGAGCTCTCTTCGGAAAAGAGGCCATCCAAGCTGCCCAAGATGAGGAGAGAGCCGAGCAGGAGGCGGCGCGTCGACAACGAGGCCCGACTCAGCAGGTCGATCTGGAGACGGCGCTTCGAGGGGACCCGCGCAAGAAGCTGCCTGAGATATCGCTGCGACGCAATATATTCATTCAAGGCAAGGATACGTGGCCTCGCGCTACTGCTGTGGGCTTGGTCATGAAAGAGATTAGGAAGGGCGCCGATGGTCTTACCGAGTTCGCCTTTGTCCACGAGAAGGCCTACGACAACGTTCAGATCATGTTCTGGAGCTGCGTCCAGCTTGGTGACCCTATGCAGATGGTGAACCTATTGATACGGTATCCCTATCACATCTCGACTTTGCTCCAAGTGAGCAAGGTGGCCATCCAGGACCAGAACCAGTCACTGGCTGCAGACCTCTGCGAGCGGGCACTCTTCACATTCGGCCGGTCCACGACATCCGCTTTTAGACAGAAATTGGAGCAGGGCAAGGCTCGACTGGACTTCCGGCGCCCCGAGAACCGCGAGCTCTGGCTGGCAGGATATACGTATCTCAAGAGCCTCATCCGCAAGGGCACGTATAGGACGGCGCTCGAGTGGGCCAAGCTTCTCTTCAGTCTAAACCCGAATGATCCTTATGGCATGAAGTATTTCATTCATACTCTAGCAATCCGAGCACGTCAAGCGCAATGGCTCATTGAGTTCCTCAACACTGGCGAATTTGTAGCGGACGAGACGGATGATACCTACATCAAGCAAACCATGGTCCTCGCCAAGCTTCAATTGGGCGACAAGGAGGGAGCAAAGATGGCTGCAGTGGCCGGTATGGAGCGGTTGCCATGGCTATACTGTGCCCTATTCCAGGCGCTGAACCTGGAAGCGCCGCCTCCCCTATGGGGAGTTCGACCTGACACGGACGAGCGCGAGTTCTGGACGAAGCTGTACGTTCATCAAGCCAAGGACATTTGGAACAACACGCAAGCAATCGACTTGCTCAAAGAGGCCGTCAAGCTTGCGAAGAAGCCGACAGAGACACTTCCCGAGGATATGCCGGCAACGACCCGTACAGCGAGATGGACATGGCTGGAGGACACTCCGGCATTGTTGAGCGGCATTCCGAGGGCCATTCTCACCCAGGAGCCAAACTACGCCTTCGATCCGCTCCCACCTCTGGAGGACGAGAACATCTTTACGAGTGAGGGAGTCCGGATGCCGTGGCGACAAGACAATGAGCAGGGTGGAGGCATGCTCGCCCAAGAGCGAGCACTCCTCAACATGCTTCGCAGACAGCGTCAGCGAGCAGATGCCCGGGGCGCTGGAGCCGGCGCGGCCGCAGGAGCTGGTGCTATGGCAGGTTTGATGGGCGCGTTCCCCGAAGACGACGATGACGCTGGCGATGGTGACTTTGGTGATGCATGGGAGGGAGCGTTCTCTGAAGGTGAGGGCGACGATGACGATGACGGTTTCCTGCAGGGAGAGGGAGGGCAGCCTCCTTCGGCTGGCGTGGTGCAGCGGCTTGCTGATTTGCTGGCGTCTATGATACCCGGCGGCTGGCCGGCTGAGCCAACCGTCGACGATGAGGCGGAAAGCACGGATGAGGAAATGCCGCCTCTGGTTGACGGCGATGAGGATGCTGGTGGTGACGAAGCACGTCAACGGCCTGGGGCAAACTAGTCGCGACGATCAACTGGGTGTGCCTATCTAGATAAAGGGTCTGTTGCCCTCAATAGTTTCCTAGATGTATAGAGCATCGATACCCGTACAAGAGAATTGAACAAATCATGTCACCCTCGTTTATTCTTACCATACTACTACGTATCAGCCCGACATCAACTTGCAGCCGTCTTCAACATGCACACGGACCCCTGTCCTAGCGCGAGCAGACTAACTTGCGGGTTCGACCGCACGCGACATCCATGGAAGGTCGGAACGAGAGAAGGGGGCGGAAGCAAGGACGATCTGCCAAGTGTGAAGAAAGAGAACGGAGGCGGTTCCCTGGATCCTGGGACATCTCACGTGTGAAGGGTCTGTATCCGTAAGGTACTTATCCTTACCTCACTTTGTACTACATTTGTGCACCTGCATCACTGTCACTGGCGCTCTGAAATGAAATGCGCTCGCTCAGTACCTCACGGCGGGAATGGGGGGTCCCTCTCTGTTTCAGGGGGGTGATTCGGAGAGAGAATCAGAAAAGAGCATTTTGGAAGTTGCAAAGGGCTGAGGTGAGCAAGTTTCAGAAGCGAGACGGGGACTCTCTTCTCTTTGGGGGGGGGGGGGGTGGTCGGGTTCAATTTGGCGCTAGCGGCTACTGGGGGTGGTTCGGATGTTAGTGTGAGCGTGCTGCGCGGCCTTCTCTTGCGCCATCGACGGGCGGTTTCTATGGGAATTAATAATGCGATTTGGCAGCACCAAGGAGGACAGATATATAATCGGTCCAGATGACCACCCTCTCATCCAGACTGCCGATGGTTTTTCTCTAATTTTAACTCTCGACTTAAAGATACCCCTTTTCTTCAACGGTTTCTCGTAATACAAGCGACTCACCCCGTAAACCACCCAGGATTATCAACGACTGGAGCTTTCCTTGCCCCTCCTTAATAGCTCTCTTCTACCCCGCCAAACGCCATACCGCAAACTCTCCCACCTGCAACCCACCGAACTTCCAACCTCTCGATCTCCTTCCAAACACCACCACCACCAAAACCGACACAATGGCTGAGCACACCTACAAGTTCAACGTCAGCATGAGCTGCGGCGGCTGCTCCGGCGCCGTCGACCGTGTCCTGAAGAAGCTGGATGGTTAGTCCCCCCTTCCCCCCACAGATTTCCCTCCCCATTGCCGAAAAGAACACGTTCTGACTGAAAGCATTTGTCCAAATTACAGGCGTCAAGTCGTACGAAGTCTCCCTCGAGAGCCAGACCGCCACCGTCATCGCCGAGGAGAGCCTGCCCTACGAGAAGGTCCTCCAGACCATCTCCAAGACCGGCAAGAAGGTCAACTCTGGCAGCGCCGACGGCGTTGAGCAGAGCATCGAGGTCACCGCATAAACAACCTTTTTGTCTCTCTCGATCTGAGTAGCGAACGGAACATTCTTTGGGGCAAGGAGTTTATATGGAACGTGTTGACCACTGCGACATAAATGCAGTGCGGCAATACGTTTTTGCTGCCGAGGACTTTATTTGCTTTTGCGCACTTGCGAAACCCATTATCAAAAATAGATATACTATGGTCGCTTCGACTCTCCATTCTTAGGTTGTCTGTGTCCACTAGGTACCTCTGTGCTCTCCGCCATCGAAAGTCGAGTGGCTCGAACATTTGCATGGCCAAGTCACTGTATTGTTGCTTGAATGCGACTACGTGTGCATAGCTTTCCACAGCCGGATGCTAATGGCTGGATGAGTATCCTTCAAGGGTCTTCTTCTGCGGTTTTTGTTGTGAAGCCACATCCGACCCGACAATGTCTTTGAACTGTAGATCATCACCCCTCGTGGCTACATGTTATTATTCGCAGCGCATCTCCGGTCAACTTCGAACCTCTGCAGCTGTGTAAGATCAAGCCTAGCGAGGGGGTGTCTGTAAGTTGAGCCAGGTTTCTTGTCGCCAACTCACACGAAGGTACTCACGCGACGGTACTACCTACGTACTATTCTGGCATCGCTACCCACAAAAACTGGCATCTTAGACTCCTGACACATTCAACTGCTGGAGCTCTTTGGACTTTGTTCGCAACTAAGGCGTCGGAACTGGGCGAATCAGGGCAATGTCTGTTTCCTCCTAGACTGTAGCTCACAATCCCGATGTTACCATATCAGCCTAGAATCAGGATCCCTATCGGCGCATTCCATCACCTTTTCTCCAAATGATGGTGGTAATGCCGATAGCAGTGGAGAAGAAATAACCTGCCCTCATCTAGGTGACATTGATATAAGGCCTTGCCTGCTCTGAGCTGCTCTCTGAAGATTTTGCAACACTGTAGCATCACGCGTAATGCGGCATGAACAAGCTGGTCGGTTTGGGCTTTATTGATATGTCATCTTAACATGGAACGGCTGGAAGCTTTGTTGGACCGCAGATGGCTACCAAGACAACGAGAAGCTACGCCTCCTATCTAGAAACTTCGTTATTGGCCCTGGTTGGACATGCCCCTCTTGCCCTAGATGGAGTATCGCCATGGATGGCAGGGTTGCTACCTACTTCGGTCTGCAATAAGCTCGCCGCCGTCTCATCAAGGGACGCATTAGAAGGGCCTTGGGGATCTCCCACCGCCGATCTTGGTGCCTTGCCCAATGGGAGCTTCTAGATCGAGCATGAGACGGGAGGACACGTGAAGTAAGGACCCTGAAAGAAAGGAGATATGCAGCGTGTTTGGGAAGCATATGTCTGGTATGTTACGTATTGGCATGGTAGATCTGGAAGTGGCTGTCGACACCCGGAGCTCACTTCAGTCCCAAGGGTACCCACACCCGCCAACGCCACCCGGGGAGCCGGGGAGGAGTGCCTACCAACGTCATTTTTGCGCCGTGGGTGGTGGGGGGGCGATGGGAGGGCTGGGGGCCACGGGGGTGTAACCCGCACAAAGCGCCGGCCGATGGGCGGCTGGATACGTTTTTGCGGTCTGGGCTACCGGTGTTTTCTTTGCTTTGCGCGCTGAGTTATGTCTACCTAGGATGGTGGGAGGTGGGAGAGACAAGTGAAGAGGGAAAGCGTCACACAGACAGATGACCGTCCGGCCCTGCCAGATGACGACCGGACCCGAAAGTGGGTGGCGGTGCTTGTACCGTTCCCCGTTTTTTTTCGCTTCCACGGGGTCTTGCCAAACGAATTGTTTGGTGAGGTGCACGAAGTACTTCGGAGAGAGCACGTACCCTTACCCTTAGTTAGCTGCCCAAACCTCTCATAATACGTCTGCCTTTCCTTGCATCAAAAGATGAGACCGCTGGGTTGCAGTTCTCGACACTAATGCAATTTCAACCTTTTGCAAAAAAACATACTGCTGCTGCCTTGAAGTCAAAACGGACACTTTTTAACTTCATCCGACTACAACTCTACTTCAAACTCAACCGGCAACGCTACTTGAGAGAGGAGAAGAACCAGCTTCCAGAACACATCTCATCGAACGCCATCTCATCTCCATACCTACCACCGAGGAAGAAATCAAGAACCGTCTTATATTCGCACACAACCAAATTCCTACTACCACAGCCTTCCTTCAAAAAACCACATTTCACAATGGGAACACCGTTCGTGTCCCTCCTAGAGCCGACCCGGCTCGACGCCTACATCCGCGGCGCGCCGCACGACGAGCAGCCGGCGACGATACCAAAGGAGATTTGCGACGCCATGGAGGTGCGCGAGGCCGTCTTCGTCGCAGAGCAAGGCGTCCCCGCCGAGAACGAGTTCGACGCCGACGACAGCCGCGCCTGCCACTGGGTCTCGTATGCCTCTGTCAATAAAGTCGTCGAGCAGGAGGTGCTCGACGACGCCGGCAACATCGTCCGGCCCCGCCGCAGCAGCACCCGCAGCACGCCCATCGGGACCATCCGCCTCGTGCCCTTTCCCCACGCCCCGCACCCCAAGGACGGGGGCGTCTACTGGGACGGGGTGTTGAAGGAGGATCCTGCGGCGGCGGCGGATGTTGCGCCGAACGGGGAGAAGAAAGTGGGAGGAGACAACAAGGAGTCTTCAGAGTCGACGAGCAGCCCCGCGGAGGAAAAGGCCGAGAGCGCGGCGGAGCACGTGGGCGAGGAGAGGCGCATGTCGGCGACCAAAGTCTTTGCGCCGGACCGCGCGACGGCGCTGCACGACGGGCGGGAGCCGTACGTGAAGCTGGGCCGGCTGGCCGTGGTCAAGGAGTTTAGGGGACACCGGATCGCGAGGCTGCTGGTCACGACGGCGCTGGCGTGGCTGCGGGCGCACCCGAGCTACTTCGACCCCAGTGTCAAGGAGTTGGGACTCGAGGCGATCGGGGCGACGAGCGCCGAGGAGGTGCCCAAGTGGAGGGGGCTCGTCTGCGTGCACTCGCAGGCGGCCGTGGTGGGCGCGTGGGAGAAGTTTGGGTTCCGGGTCGACGAGGAGATGGGGACTTGGTGGGAGGAGGGGATCGAGCACAAGGGTATGTTTATGCGGTTGGATGTCGAGGAGGAGAAGCCCATCCTTTGAAGAGGAATGGATGAATCAGCGATGCTTGGCTGGAGGTTGGCCGCTTTTAAAAGGAGAGAACGGAAGGCTGGGGAGGCATCCTTGCCTGGCTTAGCAATGATTGATGATGGGGTCTGGCTGATCGAGATGGGGGATCTTTGATGGTTTACGATACCCCATGATGAAGGCTTTCTGCTTTTGGACCAAGGTTCCTTAATATTACTTGGTAGTTTCGTCAAGACGACATGGGCATGTCGAGTTCGCACATGCATTTTCGAGGTACCATTACGTGGGAGGAAGCAGTGACATGCTATGACGTTAAGATATCACCAAACTGGGCATCTCATGTAGTCGATGATGACAATACTGGGAGGAAGAAAAGGGAGATATCATTCTCATCTCACATTAGACACCGTGGGGAAACGCCGGGGGTTTTGTTCATTTGCTCTGACGAGCTTCGGCTTTTATTGGAATAAACCACCTTTTAAGCCGTGAAGAGACAAGATGCCGTAGCAGCTGCGTTCCCCCATTTCCCCGAAACGCGCGCAAATGCAAAACAAAAAGGGTCACCCAGCGCAAGACACCGCTTTTCTTTTCGTTCATGATGTTGAAGAAAAAAGACGTTGAATTGCCCTGTTATGTAATACCACGCCTCCGATTTGATTTGTCCCCCAGAAAGCAGTTTTTTGACGTCTCGATAGAGAAATAGGGAAAAGGGGGAGGGTGTAGATGGAACCCCCATTTTTTCAACAGGTCTCCTCCACGTTTTTGTTGCCCGCCCTTTCTAAGCTCCCTCCTCCCCTCTCTCTCATTTCTCCAAACCAAGCGTGTTCACGGGGAACGAGCATGAGAAGATCATTGCCTTATCCCACTATTTCCCGGGGAAAGAAAGACAAGAACCACCCACAGTCCCCAGACACACGCCTCTCCAAGTCCCAGCAGCAGAGTCCCATAGCCCTTTCCATGAGGGGTGAAACACCATAGACAAAAGGGAGTAGCAAAAACCCTTTACCGGTTGGACTTGGCGACACGCTCGAGCTCGTCCTTCTTCTTGATGGCGTAGGAGTTGCTGGAGCCCTTGGCGGCGTTGATGAGCTCCTCGGCAAGGCACTCGGCGATGGACTTGACGTTGCGGAAGGAGGCCTCACGGGCACCGGTGGTGAGGAGGGCGATGGCCTGGTTGACGCGGCGGAGGGGGGAGACATCGACGGCCTGGCGACGGACGGTACCGGCGGAACCGATACGGGTAGAGTCTTCGCGGGGACCGCAGTTGACGATGGCGTCGACGGCGATCTGGATGGGGTTCTGGTCGGTCATCAGGTGGATCTGTGGTGGCATGTGTTAGTCTTGTGTGTTTATACCTCCTCAATGTGTCTGTAGGTCGGATTGGCCAAAGAGGTTTTTTGGCTTGTGGGTGCGGTCTCGGTAGGGTGGGTGACATACGATCTCGAAGGCGTGGGCAACGATGCGGACAGCCATGAGCTTCTTTCCGTTGTTGCGGCCGTGCATCATGAGGGAGTTGGTGAGACGCTCAATGATGGGGCAGTTGGCCTTGCGGAAGCGCTTGACAGCATAGCGGCCAGCGGAGTGGGTGACATAGACGGGGTTGCGGAGGGAGATGTAGTCACTATTCGATTCGGTTCGCGATTAGTTCGGAATTCTCAAAGTCCCAAGTTTCCAATTGCAAGTCCTCCGTTGAATGAAATTCCTCTTGTTGTCGTTGTCGATCGCGTTCCTGCGCAGAAAGAAAGAAGAAAAAAATAGTGCTGGGAGGTGGACTCACGTCAGAGAGATGTCCCGGACCTCAACATCGTAATCCCACTTGTTGAAGAGCTTGACGTTGCCGACCTCCTTGACAACGTCCTTGGGGAGGACATCGTAGTTGCCCACGCTCTCGACCTCGATATCGCCGCCGTCAGACATTTTCGCTCGACCTTTGGGGGGTTAGTAGACCTTGTTGGGAAGGAAGATCGAGAAAGGCTTGGGGTGGGAAAATGTGGTGGTCGTGGGTTGAAGTTGTCCAAGTGCGAAAGTACGCCGCAGAGTGGGTTTCGATTTTTGCCAGCTCGCTCCTCGAAAACCGTGACTTTGGTGCACAAGGAACGGAACCACCAAGGGCTTTTGGTCCGGGCTCTGGTCCTCCTCGCTGGGCCACTGGGCGAAATATTTTTTCAACCCGCGGTGGTGGTGGTGTGTACCCAATCAGAGCCCTGAAAGCCGGCCAAGTGGACCCGCCCGCGTGCAATTTGTTAGGGTTGGCCAACCCTCCAACCGAAAGGCCTGGAGGGGTGGTTCTGGAGTGGCACCTCTTCCCGCAACCTCATACACTTGAAATTCCTACTCCCGACGACCTAGGTGCCTTTGGTATTCCGACCGACGACATCACAAATCAGACAAAATGGTACGCACGCGAAACGACGCCCCTCCCCCCGTGTGCGCGACGCACAAATTCGCGACTTGGCCAGATCACGATGCTGACTTGAATTGGATGTAAAGGCGCCAGCTGCAGGAGCTAAGAAGCAAAAGAAGAAGGTTCGTCGCAAAACCCGTGTTCCCATAAATGTGTCTTCAAGTAATAGAATGCTGACCTTGTCCCGATAGTGGTACGTATGATCCTATGCACACACGCACAAAGAACTTGTCGAAATATCACCCAACGATACTCTACCCTCGGACGCCATTGCCTCCCTATCATCCGTCGACCAACCGACTTACCCATCGCTATAGGTCCAAGGGAAAGGTCAAGGACAAGGCCCAGCACGCCGTCATCCTCGACAAGGCCACCTCCGACAAGCTCTACAAGGATGTTCAGTCCTACCGCCTGGTGACCGTCGCCGTCCTCGTCGATCGTCTCAAGATCAACGGCTCCCTGGCCCGCAGATGCCTTGCCGACCTTGAGGAGAAGGGCATCATTAAGCCCGTTGTCCAGCACAGCAAGATGAAGATCTACAGTACGTCGAAACTTCAGTGCTACGAGAGAACCCAACGAGCAGCAGCAAAGCTAACAATCACCACCAGCCCGTGCCGTCGGTGGTACTGACTAAACCCGCTCAGCCATTGAACGTGGTACGCGTGACGACAAAAACAAAAAGCAACGGGAATCAGGGACGGATTTGGTCATATCTGCCTAGTCAGGAGGCTTTTCGGATGCTCAATGAAGCATTATACCTTGGGCCTTAGGGATCGGATTTGCTTAGCACCGCAAATGGAACGGAGTTGATCGTACATCTGCTGCGTCGTCAAATAGACCATGATCACGTCCTGACGTCCCAATGATACCGGCCCAAAGGTTATCGTTCCAGTGCATGTGGCCCGTATGCATTGTGCTCCCCTCAGACGTCATAGCCCGGTCACGTCTTGCTCCAGTTGATGGTCCTTGCCATGCTGGTTTGCATACTAGGTATTGAAGCTCATGTGCGAAGGCAAGCGGAGTTCTCCGGGGGTATGAACTGTGAGATGGAAGTGGCTCTGAACTTGAGGTCAGGACCCGACTGCTGTAGTCATCGCTGTGCGAATAATTTCATTCGCCAGCAAGGCGGTCGTTGCTTCAATATTCGCAGTCTCCAAAGGTCCAATAATGTTGCAACAACAGCTCTCGCCCGCCTAGAGGCCCACAGATATGGTTCCCGTCTGAAGAAGACAGCCGCATCTGATGCTGTAGGGCTGTGACGCACAGCTTATTATCATTCGCTCCGTGTTTCCACTTTCATGATGCGCCAGAAGCTCGAGAGCCAAGCGAAAGACGGGCTTGCCTTGGGTCTTGGCCCGCAGTCAATCCAGCCCTAGAGGTCACTATGAAAGGCCCGATGTCGTGCAGATTGAGGGCAACGGTTGCTGGGCTGAGATGAAGTGTTCTCGTTGCACGAAGGCCTGAGCATCAAGCCCTAGTAGTACAGAAGGATCTTTCGATGGCTTTTGTACTACGGTCTTGACGAGGGCAACACTAGTTGAGCCTCGTCGACCGCCACCAGAGAGGCTGACGCTAGAATAAAAGCATTATTCGTTGATGGAATGCGATATCGCGGTTCGTACTCCGTACGCATGTTCGTCGGTCGACTCATTTGCCGTCTATTGTATTTCGGTAGTAATGACAACGTAATAATAATTTTGTGCATACGGAGTGGATGCTGCCTTTAATCTGTCACTCGCTTGACGAATTACTCGCGCTCTTGGTTTCTGGAGACATCGGCGTCAGCGCTGTGATGGGTACTGTCATGAGCGTCAATGTCGCTGTCACTCTGGCTGCCACTTTGACAGGAACACGCCATTCCCTGGTCTTGCGCCTAAGAACACGCGTACTACGTACATGAATTTGAAGACGCAAAGACCGGGTGCGGGGATACAGTTTAAGAGCTTCTTGAGTCCTTTGCCGGGGCCCAAGCCCGGAGCCCGAGATGTCGGACACGTCCAAGGGCTGGCAGTGGGAATGGACTCGGAAGTGGTTCGGGCTGATGAGATTAAACCAGTCGTTGGCGGCTGGGCGCTACGGCGGGACTTCCCAGGCGCTTTGGTCAAGTTTGGGGGTGTTTGACCAGGAAGTCAAATTGATTAGGGCGGTCCGAAATTTGATGTCATGTCGAAATTGGCAGCGTCACGAAATGCCCCTTTTTCCCTTCTCTTTCTGCGACAAGGGGAATTGGAGTTGGATTTTGGGAGGGGTTGATGGAGATGAGAAGTGATTAGTCCGTAAGGTGGTAGCGCGGTTCGCGTGCGAGCTTGCGTGCATCGAGTCCTCGAGGGGTAGTGAGCATGACTTGGTCGAACGTTGATTGGGAAGCCGAAGAATGCTAGAAATGCCTTGTTCAATGTTAGTTGACAGGGCAAGTTCCAGGGTCTCATTTGAACAAAGGAGCGGCACATGATGCGGCTGTAAGCCAGACGTGAACGTCATGTGGTGGCTGACGAATGACAAGCCGCAGAAACACGCAGACCATATGGCAGCGGGATCCAGAGACTCAATACACAGCTGACTGGTTGACGAACCCCCCAAAAAGACGAGTATGACGAGAAGTGAAGAGGATGGACCGGGTCATTTGGTTCGTTTCAACTTTGAAGTTGGAGTGTAGACCCAAGAAGCTTGTCAATTTGCCGGCATGAAGGGGGAGAAGTGGTAGGATGGGGATTAAAGGCATGTTTTAAGGTATGGTATGTTGGTGGGATGAAATGGACGGCAGCCACGGCAGGCCAAGGTCCTTACTCCGTAGTACTTGGTAAATTAGCTGTCAAGACTCAGACGACTTCGCGGAGAAGGGAAGGAGCGCAAGGAACCTTGGTTCGTGATGTCCATTCCGGCCATTAGTTGGTAGGTGCACTAATGCCGCATAGGCATTCACTGTGTACGGAGCACCTAAGGTAAGTAGGTACTGGTAAGGTGCGAAGCAGTTACCGAGAGTCGTTTAGTAGGTACCATGAGCACCTTCCTTGGCTTCCACAGGTTCCTTAGCTCGAGGTTAGGTATCCGTGAGGTAGGGAGGCGGGAAGCTATCTTGGAGAAAGTAACGGAGCAAGTGACGGAGGGGCCTAGAGCAAATGACCTTGCCTTGTTGGTCATAGTGACAGATGGTGAAAGTGGGATTTCCAGGGTCGTGGAGAGCTGCACATGGAAGGCGCTCAAGACTTAAGCCTCCAAGGAAGGAAGGAAGGAAGGAAGTTGGCTCCCACCTGGATGCCGATGCCGTCAGGTACGGATACCGTGCCTTTGTCGTCCACCTTAATTAGTGGCCGGGGTGGGCGGATGGATGGATGGATGGATGCAGGCCAGCTGCAGGTGCATAGGTTCTCCGAAGACAAGGGATGAATAGATAGGTACTCTGCAGTATGCATGGTGGTGTCGGATACCCTCACCATCAAGATAGAATATGCCCATCTTTTCTTGCTCCCATGTGGCAAGTGCTCTATGTACTAGCGTTCTTTTACTTTGAGATCCCTTCAAATCCAGGCAGGACATCGAGTATGGACAGTATTCGCCAAACCAGGTCTCGAGGTGTATTTCGAGGTCAGTGTTCGCAAGAGTTCAGCCATTGACGAGGCTGCTACATGGTCTCAAACATGCCCCCTCCACTTCATGCTTTGCAACCATCTGGCTTTCTCGGGGGTCGCCTGTCAAGCCTGTTCCCAACTTTGCCGCTGGCCAGGCGTGGGCAAGCAAGCATCAAGAGAGGAGCTGAGGTGTCAGGAGCCTGGTTTATGCACTTCCATGCAACTTGCAGTGCGTGTATCCGTACGGAGCACTGCGTGCCTTACTACGTAGAGGGTGAGAGCGTAAGGTAGGTGCTCTTTTAGATTTGGATCGCCTGTCCCGGTCGGGTCGCATGAACACTGCTTCTGCGCCCAATTGACTGGGTCTCGAGACCATTCCCTTTGCAGCTGATTACAGATGGCAACCTGGTAATTGCACGCTCCACCATGGGACATAGGACCCAAAAAGACAGCAGGAGCAGATGCAGGACTCGAGGTACCTGATTTCCTGATGCGAGACTGCGGAGCCCCCGACGTACCTATTGTCTTTCCAACCTCCGGATTGACTCCGTCCACTTACCTTGGGGCAATCGCAACCCGCTTGCCTCCTTCCTCTAGATGCAATTCAACCACACTGGTCTCTCATTCTCGAGGTGAGGTATTTGTACAGAGAGAGATACCTTTCTCAAGTGTCATCATCTCAGAAAGTCTCGTTAGATTCTGAGATATGTGAGGTAAAAGGAAGGTACTTGCAATAACACCAAAGGTACGGAGCACCTCAACATGATATGGCGAGCTGTCATTGCCCTCCCTCATCGCGCCTTCTCATGAACCTGCAGCAGATATAATTGGTAATTATCCGGTACACCGTCTCCAGGCCCCTCCCTCCTTACTGTGTCCGCATGTGTGTGTGTGCCGCCCGTACCTGGCCCCTTCCCCTTCCCGGCCTGTGATCTCCATGTGTGCCAACCAAAAATGATGCGCACCACCAGATGATGGCCCTGATGTCAGGCACCACACCCGCCCTGTCTTACATCTTCGTTCTGACTTCTCTCCTGCTCAGTCCTCCCCTCCTTATTCCCACCTTGCACTGTCTTGATCTGACCCCATCTGAATGGACCGTGACCAAACCAGGTTTGCCCACATCCGCCTGTCTCGCCTCTCCTCTTGTTGCTTCCCTCAACCTTACAAAGTCCAAGTCCATCCCGCATCCAAAAGCCTCCGCCGTTCCTGTCCCGACTTGACTTCCTTGTTCCTCCTCCCCTTCCAAGTTCCCGCCTCCACCTCTCCCACCATCTCCGATCCCCTTTTCCCTGCCGCTTGCAGACAAGACAACCACAGACGAAACAAATACTCGCCCACCTCCCTTCAGCTCTGCTCTCAGGTCCTTCTCTCCGGCGCATCAAAGATACCCCTCTCTGCCTGTGCCTTGCTCCATCCATCTTTCGCGACAAGACCACCAACGCACTTGTTCGACATCTTCCATCTTGCTTCTAGAGCATTGCATAGCCAACTCGCTTTACCGCCTCTTATCCACCATACATTACTACCCGCTTGCTTGGATTACCACATCGGTGTGACAAGCACCCTGTCGACACTGTCAACCACTAACCGCTGATCATCCTCCCTTTTTGGTCGACCACGAACCCAACCGTCTCCAGTCCCTGATTGCGAGTCCTCTTTTCTCCCACTCGCAACCTCACAATCTCAACTCCTCTGCCTATCCGAAGCTCCTTCCTACACACGAAATGGCGCACAACATGACCGACGCTGAGCTCGACCTCGACTGGCAGCCCAATGGCCGCCGCCCTCAATCGTGCGTTCCAATGGCCCGCCTCAATTAACCAAAAACCTTGCGAGATGCGTTGCTGACCCGCAGTCGCGCAGTACCATTGCTCGTTCCTTCTCCCAGGAGCTTGCCGACATCTTCCGCCTCGACGAACCCGTCACAGACGAGAAGCTTGACCAACGGTATGTAGAGCCGCATCACCCATAATCATGTTTCACCTTACGGCATGCAGCTTTACACCAAAAGGAGTAAAGTCAGAAAACTAAGAGAATCGTTACAGAAAGCAGAATGTCCAGA